TTGTGTTCCATCAGGACAACGCCAGGCCACACACATCGATAGTGACTCGCCAGAAGCTCCGGGAACTTGGTTGGGAGGTTCTTATGCATCCATCTTATAGTCCGGACCTGGCACCAAGTGATTACCATCTGTTTCTGTCCATGGCGAACAATTTTGCTGGTGAAAAATTCGCTTCAAGAGAGGCTTGTGAAAATCGACTGTCTCAATTTTTTGCCAATAGGGACGAGGGCTTCTATGAGAGAGGCATAATGAAATTACCTTCAAAATGGCAACAAGTTATCGAACAAAACGGCGCATATTTGACCTAAATCGGATCATTCTAACTATGGTAATTAAAGCCTTCAATTTCATGCAAAAATAATGGATTTCTTTTTACTACACCTGATATATATACGTTAATATTACATCTGTATTTTTATTATAAAAATGATAATGATAAGATACTGATTTTAATAAAAACTTTTTAGTAATTATGGTTTATAGCATCTTACAAATAAAATTTATATTTATTACATTATAAAATTTATGATTCTGAAGCTATGATTACCGAAAATATTTGCGTTTTGACTTAACAGATGAGCGATATATCAGACAATATCACTGGAATATTACAATATCACTGGAATATTACTGCAATGTTACAATGTGACTATCGTATGGCAACATAGTGACAATATTACAACATTATTGCGTGATGATAAATCTCATTGCAATATCACAGGAATATTGCCGCTATATTCCAGCATTACGGACCGCCACATAATATTTCTGATTATCGCCGCAATACTGCAGTGTGAAACAATATATATACAGGGTGTCCCATTTTAATGTCACATCACAAATATCTCAAAAACACTGCATTAAATCAAAAAAGGTTTCAGACAAAAGTTGTTTGGCTTGAAAGAGGACAAGAAAGCGATAGCATTTTGTTTATAAATGGCGCCACTTTTGAGATATTCACTGACAATCAATTTTCATAAATGGAAATCCGAATTTTTTGTTATATTTTCTTTTTCTATCAATTAATTTGAACAATTTTTGTCTGAAACATTTTTTTATTTGGTTAATATTTTTTGAGATATTTAAGGAAAACTTGGTAACTTTTTCAACATTTAACTTACGATATCTCGCTAACTATTCGTCGAAAGAAAAAATAGTATTAGACTTTTTTACTTTACTTACTATCAAGAATATATTATTATAATAGTGCCCTAACTTTTGTTAACTTATCGACCTTTGGAAATTTCAAAATTATTAAATTAACAAAAGTTAGGGCACTATTAATATATTCTTGATATTAAATAAAGTAAAAAAGTCTAATGCTATTTTTTTGTCGATGAATAGTTAGCGAGATATCGTAAGATAAATGTTGGAAAAGTTACCAAGTTTTCTGTATGGTCGCGGAGATAAAGGTTGTCACTTTTTTTTTAATGACTTTCAGGACGCATCCCGACTCGAGAAAGATGAGAGCTGCTGTTCCGCCTGCGGAGCACGCCTACGCAGTAACCAGGGGGTTCAAACTCTCCGTATTTTTTGGCTCCGGAAGTTCAGTTCAGTGGTCGGTGCTCTAGGCGGCAGCACAGTCGATCCCTCTCTTTTCCTCTCTTTTCCCCTTGCCCATAAGTTGATTTTGATTTGATTTTTTTTGCCTTGACAGTTTATCACCGTTTATGGTTAAACAATTCATAGTGCAGCATAGTACAATTAACGCTAAACGCAAATTTTTTAGTGCTATTTGTGTTTATGTAGTGAATATTTTGTAATATATTATAACGTGTTTTTTTTTTTTTTTAGTTGTATAGTAAATTATAGTGTTTAAGTGTATAAGTGATTTATAGTGTTTAAGTGTTTAATTGATAGTGTTTCAGTGATTTATAGTGTTTAATTATTATTAGTGAATAATACTGATTTCATTGTATATATATACTTATTACAATATTTTATATATCCTTATTATATAAGATATTATATTATATATTATTAGTTTATATATTATTTATTATATATAATTGTTCAATGTTGTTCTCTTTAGACAAATATTTAGAAAATATAGCAAACGAATCCATTTATAATGATGATGAAGTTCCGGAATTACTGTCAGAAAATAATGTTTCGAATGATATATTAAACGTAGTATCTTTAGATAATCGGGAACATATAATTAGATCTATTTTGAAGGAAGTTAATTTTTGTACAGAATGTGAAAATAGTCTATTGAGTAGTGAATTTTCAGTTTGCATTAAACAAATTACAGGCGTTATTAATAAATTGTTAAAAACTAGAGTACATAAAAAAAATATTTTAAAAGTATTGTTACAATTTTTAGAAAATTATAATATTAATATGAGTTGGCATGAGTGTGTAGAACATACAAATATATGTAAAATTATAGTGCATGTGTTAGCTATGCAAATTATAATATTGTGGTGTGAGAAAAAAAATTCTGCAATAAAAAATTCAGATGTAAATATTGAAATACTGCAGCGTAATGTGATCGCGAGTGTTAATAAAATTAAGCAGATGCGTACAAATTTTATAATAGAGCGAACAAAAAGAAATATTATTTTAAAAAATTATAAAGATTATATTCACAAAAAACGGCGTGTGCAATAATATTGTTATATTATTTTTTGAATTATTTAGGTTATATTTATTAATTATATTTAAGTTTTACTTATTATATATAATATATTTATTGTATGTATTTTTTATATTTATTTATTTCCAAAATATTGTATACAATTTGTAATTCTATTTTTATTGTATTTCATTTTTGTAATGGTATGTTGAGTGACAATTGTATGATAAAATTATGTATTGTATGACAATATATTTGTATGACTGTGAGTATGAGTAGCTTATTAATAGAGATAGGTAGGTCCTTCTACTCCGATCAATTATCTACCTGAAGAAGTCATATTTTCCTATAAGAAGGCATGCCTTCAGGCAGTGGTGGTTAGTAGATGGAGATAAGATCGGAGGAAAGATGCGAAATTCTAGCGAAAGCAGAATATCGCATCTGAGAAGAAGTGTAGTGATATAAAAGGAATGCTTCTAGGATAACTTCTGTAAACAATTTGTTATGTATGTTATTATTTAGTTATGTATGTTATTATTTTATATTATATTAATTTGTAAAGTGTGTATGAATGATTGAGTGCTTGAATGCTTTTATGATGCGGTTGTGCACAAATTATGTGCTTTGCATCACATTTTTTAACCACACCGGATATTTTACATGTTTATGTCCGACAGTCCGTAGTCTGTTTAAAGTGGGACGGGAAAATGTTATGTAAAGCTTTTTTATATGTGAATTATATTATATATATATATATAATTTATAATTTAGCAATATATGTTACATGATTCAACATTATATTATTATTTTTACTACTTTTTTCAAATAGTTTACTTATTATATTTACCTGTTATATATATTTTGTTATATTTTAATTTTTGTGCAACAAAAAACTAATAAAAATAATATGTAATTATGTTCTATTTAAATGTAATTAAATGTACAAATGTATACATTGATAAATAATGTAATTAAATGTACAAATGTAAACATTGATAAATATCTTTATGTGCATTGTGATATATTTTAATAATATAATATTAACGTATATATATTATAATCCTCTCAATAATATTGTTTGCAAAAAATAATAAAGTGATAAGTTTCTGAGCGATGTTGTTCAGTTTAACTATTATTTACTGTACTTAAGATTACAAATGAAAACTATTTTAAATTTGTGAAACATTTTTTACGTAGTCTTAAGTAACGTAAATAACATTTAAACTTTACAATATCGCTCAGGAACTTATAAATTTAATTTTAATATCTATAAGTATGTACCACGCGCGCGCGGTATGATTTAAATATGGCGGCAACCTCCCCACCACTCGTTCCTTAGTTCGTTACTTCCGGGCTGGTGCTCCAGGCGGCGTTGAAAATAGTGTCCCCTTCTCACAAGAGGCGAGTTTTAACCTCCTGGCAGTAACTCACAACGAAAGGCGAGAAATGAAATATACGTGGTATGACATAAGTATGTCAATAATCATTGCGCTCAGCAGAGAAAACCGCTCAGTGAGCGATTAGTGACTAAATAAATACGATTTCACTTAAAATTTAATATATATACCTGTTCAATACCTTGCAAAAGACGCATTCCCATTTGAATGACTTACACTATGTATCTATCCCTCCGCTGCTGATTTTTCAAAATGTAAGAATTGGGTGCGTTCACGACACTCAACGGTTGAGCAACTGTTGAATAATTTGTCAACGTTATTGGTCTGAATGTAAAGATCTAACAGTAAGGACCAATAGTCACTAATTGTTCATTATGCGGTTTTCTTCACTAAACGCAATGATTGTTGACATACTTATGTCATACCATGTATATTTCATTTCTCGCCTTTCGTTGTGAGTTACTGCGCAGGCGTGCTCCGCAGGCGGAGCAGCAGCTGTCATCTTTCTCGAGTCGGGATGTGTCCCAAAAGTCATTAAAAAAAAGTGACAACCTTTATGTCCGCGACCGTACCCCCTGGTTCAATGGGTGCATTCAGTACTACAACCGCTCACTGAGCGCTAAGTGAGCTCTTGCATCTGATTGGTATATATTTTTAAATCTAAAAGAATATACCAATCAAATGTAAAAGCTCATTGAGAGATTGTAGTACTGAATGCACCCAATAGTTGCGTTCAGAAAACAAAACGCTCACTGAGCGCTCAGTAACTATTTGTCCTTACTGTTAGATCCTTACATTTAGACCAATAACGTTGACGAATTACTCAACCGTTGTGTAACCTTTGTGTTTTCTGAACGCAGCCACTGAGTGCATTCAGTACTATAACCGCTTACTGAGCGCTCAATGAGCTTTTACATTTGATTGGTATATTCCTTTAGATTTAAAAATATACACCAATCAGATGCAAGAGCTCACTTAGCGCTCAGTGAGCGGTTGTAGTACTGAATGCACCCAATGATTTGTTCTTTTTAGCCAAACTAAATTGCACTTTTTGACATTAAAGTAAAAATATATAAACTTGTGTTGAAAAAAGGACGAAGCTTTAATACAGCACTATAGCTCAGCTAAAAACAACCTTTTGTAAAAAAAGACCTTTTGTTTCATTCAAATTTATTGCACTAATGTGTGCACCAGTTCAGGAAGTTTTGCGAAGGAGAACAGGCTAAGTGATTGTTTTGGAAAGAGGTTAGGACTGAAGAATTATTCTAATCCGCTATTTTTTTATCTATTTTTATTATTATAGTAACATCAAATAAATATTAAATAATTTATTATATGTATACGAAAAGTATATTTGTTATTGGATCAGCAAAAAATTGTTTGATTTAAATTTTGTATGCATATGAACGTTACTTTATTTTGATGTTTACAGTTATTTTATAGTTATTTTATAGCAGGAGCACTGTATGTAAGATGCAAGTTTTTTTTATAAATTATGTAGATTTTTCTTATAAGTATTAATTTAATTATTATTAAATATTAATTTAAGACAAAATAATTAAGTTGACACTAATAAAATCATTGTTAAGTATAGTAATATTTTAGATGGGGAAAAAAAGAAATATTCAACCTCCACCAATAATGCCAGGGCGAGTGAAAGTGGAAATAAAAGATGAAATAGGTAATATTTGAAAATAAAGTATTTGAAATATTTGAAATTGAATTGAAGTATTTGAAAAGAAATATTAAGTACTATAAGTAACTTTGTTAGCAACTTTGAGTATAATGTAAATCATACATGTTAATAGGGGACAGTGATGTACTTGTAGCAAGAGATCGATTAAAAGGTGCTCTCCGTGAATTACTACAACACAGTGATACAGGTTCTTCAGCAGATTCGAGCGAAGAAAGTTCTGCTCATGATTATAAACAAATGAAGAAAACGTAAGTTTTAACTCATTTTCATGATTACATAATATAAATTCATAATGATCAATTTTTTCTTTTAATTATATGAGATATACAGGACAAAGACTATGAATTTTCAACAACCACGGAAAATCAGGCGTCGCCGTCAGATACAAGCTGACACACCATTTCATCATACATATGTGATGAAATTATTTGATCGTAGTGTTGATTTAGCTCAATTTCAAGAAGATACTCCACTTTATCCCATATGTCGTGCTTGGATGGCCAATCAACCAAGAAATCCGAACTTGGTTCCTAAGTAAGCAATACTTGCATATATTATTATTTACTCATCTTGATGTTTGGTTCATTTTAGTTTCAATTGGTTGTACTATTTTAGAATGCTATTTGGTACCTGATACATTTTTATCAATATTTTTTATTTTTTTTAATGTACTTTGTAAGTTATATAATATGAAATATTAAAGCATATAAGTGTATGTGTGTGAAGAAAAAAGGAATTTTATAAACAACTCTTTATAAAAAAATTTAGAGACACTCATATATTTGCATAGAGTACGCAGTCCAAGCCCAGAAATAGTGAATGAAGTTAACATAGGGAATAATTTATTTGGAATAAATGGAGAGTTGAATGATGTCCATTATTTACCACTACCTTTGCCCTGTGAAGAGGCTATACCAAAAAATCGTATTCCATCTCCTGTACTTGGGGAGAAGGAGGAACTGAACTTAGATTATGTAAGTCAATAACTTAGACAAATGTGTATAAAATTCAAATTTATATTAAAAAGACTTGTGAACACATTGTATATTGAAACTTCAAAAATAAAAAAAGATATATATCATACATATTCTTTATGTTAACAATAATATATATTATGAATATAAATTATACATAACACATTGTAGGACGGACATACTCTCAAATCGCGAGAGACACTAATGAAGGAGCATACTGCACGGTGGAATACTATTCGCAAAAAGTGGCATCAGCAAGCGCATAAGAATGAACTACGTTTTATAGAAAGCGCTAATATACTCAGCACCATTTTTAAAAAGTTTGTATAAAAGATGTTAATTAATTATAGAAAATTTTCATGATGAGTATTATAGCGATTCACTAGTATATTAGGTTTAGCATAATGTCCCTATTCCTAATGTCACTATTGATACCTTTATTATAGTGTTTTTAATGTTTCAGGGCACAGTCAGAATTTGAATAGTAGAGACGAAAGAGTAGCATTCCTGCAACTGCTGATTCTTTCGCCGCTGGTAGTTTTTATTATGTCATCAAGGAGTAACTTCTTATTTGCTATTTTTCTATACGGTTGCTTATCGGTGAATATATATATGTAAGAGATGATGATATATGTTGCACATGTGTGTATATATATATATATATATATATATACACTTATACATATATATATATATATATATATATCTGAATTTATTTGTAGTGGTTAGAAGAAAATCTAATCATGTTTTTCAATGAACATTTTCCCGATAGCAAATTATCACTTTAATATGGAACTATTATTGCAACTCTTGTACATTTCCTTTTTCTTTTTTAATAAAACATGCAAATAAGGAAATAATTCCTTCCTCAAAACAGATGAAGCGTTTTAGCAACAGTATATGTCTACTTTTATCATAAAACGCGGCATTTCGTAATAATTCTAGTCATATTTATCGACTCTCTTGAAAAGTGATAATTTTCACGAAATACCGCGTTTAATGAAAAATCGACGACATATAATAATCTTCGAATATCATATATCAACAAAACAACGTATAAAAATAAGATTTACTTATTTGATATTGAATAATTAACAGTATACAGTATTACATGCTAACTTTACATCTTTATAAATTTATTTTTAATTTCCGGAAGAGATTGAACACTTAAAAGTGCTTATATGTTATGTGTAATCCATAATATTTCATACATAATTCTTTCACTATAAATACAAAAACGGATAGTATAAATGTGTATTTATTTTGATTATAGATGGTACTTTCCTGCATTACCTCAATTGCAATTATTAATGTGTGCATTCTCATAAATTTATAAAAACCAAAACTGAGGAGGAAGGATAAGACGAATAATTCTTGAAGACTTGAGAATTACACGCTTTTTATTCTAGATTCTAGATATTAACAATCGCGCAACTTACATTATTTACTTTCATTTATTAGGATTCTCATACAAACACTGTTTGATTGTTTGTCGATTGTGAATGCATTTCTTTCAAAGAGCAGTTGTAATTGTCAAGACTTCCTTTACATTTTCCGAGATGTCTACGTTATTGAAGAATTTCGTCTCATATAAAATGTAACTAAGAAATAAATAACATAATTTAAATATATCATTCGCTCGTTCAACTACTACTATGCTATTTTTTCTATCTTTTGACTTGTATTGTGTAACTGTATACTTCAATAACAAATATTTATTATAAGCAACATTATTACCTCTCAATGCACTTTGTAATTTATGAATCGTGGGAAGTGATTTTTTGTACAATCTCATTTTAATGAGACTGGGAAATTTTCACGATTATCTTGAAGTATACTTCAATGAATTAAATTTTCCGTCACTATTGCACACGTACGCACATATACGTACACACACATACACACATATACGTACACACACATACACACATACACTTTCTCTCTTTCTAATGGAAGTTTACTTGTCCGTCAAAGACAGTTCCAATACTTGGCGGAACGTTTCCTCCTCTAGCAATCGCCGTTGTTCTTCTTCTATTTGTTGCTGTTCGGAAAGTTTTAACGCTAATCTTAATTGTTCTGTTGCGCCCTCAAGAGAATCACTATCTTCGTTCTCATTTACAGTGGCTGAATCTGCAGTACTTTCAGCTGATCCTGCTGTAGTTTCTTGATATAGAACTAAGCTAGCTTGAATTGCTCTGTATTAAAGGAAAATGTGTCATTTAAGTACAATTATTTTTGAATATTCTATTGATTGATATACATAACTTAAAGTTATAATTATGAGTAAACAATATTTATATATTATATGTAGTCTGAATATACGAACAGGTTTACTGATTCTAATTTATCTGCAATTTATATGTGTGTTTATAATAATCACCCACCTGCCTAAACATGAATTGTTGCAGGAAAACACATGCAAAATTAATAATAAAGTTCCGTCAATAATATAAATTTAACTAAAGACAGGACATAGAAATAATAAAATAAATAGAAAGATTATCTTCTATACGTGTATCTACTTATTACATACCTCTGAAGCTGTCTTTCTTCCTCAGAGCTCATATTAGGTGTAGTTGGTCTGGATGGCTTTTGAGCTTTCAACGCTTCCCATATATCAACCTTTGTGTAAAATTAAACAAATAATAATATATACAATCTCTATTTTATATATATATATATATATAAACATGAATTATGAATTAAATGAGTAATACCTCATCACGTTCGCTGCCAGCTTCCAAAAGACTTTGCTGAATTGCGAACTGTAGTAAATCGTCCTCTTCTTCGATACTAAATTGAGTTCTAACTTCTGCACCTGTATTTAATCAATGTTACGAATTAAACAAAGTGAGATATCAATTGTAGAATATATGCGTAAGCGCAAAATGACAGTTACCTAATTTAACATATCCACTGGGAACTTCGAAACAGATATCGTCAACTAAACATGTTATACGATTAGTTTCTTGCAAGTGACCAACATGGGACACTTCTTGATCTAAGCCGAATATATTTCCAAAAGTTATCCTTGCGTTGAGAATATGAAATAATGGAATTTCTAGGGAAAAAAATGATTGTTAATAACTGTTCTGTATTTAATATGCACATATTCGATACTACAATGTATATATCCATCCCATTATATAAAAAATTTACCAATTTTAACGGGAAAACCGGCTGGAAGTTGCATTTGGATGAAATCCTTTAACTTAGCAAAATGTGAACTAGATATAGCCATCAAATCTACAATTGGCATGATCTGCTCTTGAAGGCTTAAGGGATATTCTTCACTCAACCACAAAGTTGCCTGAATTAATATATTATTGATATATTTATATGCCAAATATATATATATAAAAAACTTATCAAAACTTATAGTCAGGAATGTATTATAATTATCAATTTAATCAAATATCAAGATACACAATTCATAATACCTTAAATTTCTGTATTTTTGTATTAACTTCCTTTGGTCTACCTATGTCTCTCCCATTTAAATCAACGTCTGAATCAAAATATTCTTCAGCAGTGATGTTGGAAGGGTTACCTATGTTATTATATTCTTCCTAAAATACACAGAACTTGATACATATTAAAGTTTTAAATAAAGATAGCTAGTTTATTCAGAAATTACTATGTAGGAAAAAGAAAATTACACTAGTGACAATAGCACTGCAGTTATCTTGCTGCTGCTCTGCAATACCAAGAAAGGACTGTAAAGGTGTTCTTGGTGCTCGAGCCCTTGCTTTATCTGCTTCGGATAGATGCTCTAGTCGAGTTTTAGTTATTAATTCCACGTTACTCGCACTAAAGACTTTACATTCATGACCATTTATCATCTCACTTTTATCAGAACGCCATCCCCATAGACCTGCTTTATTGCTAATTCGATATAGGCAATATTAAAATAAATAGAATAGATTGTTATTAATTATACTATAATGATAGATATGGTTACCGTTCGAAACTAATTTTATCGGTATCTATGTATGTCGTAACTATAGGATTGGTTAAACGAGCTATCACGCCTTCTTCAGAAGGTTCCATTAATTGTATATTATCATCTCCTATAAGTTTCATATGTTCAACATACACTTTTCTTGTCTCATGATCTACTTCCATCATTGTTGCTCCATCATCTGAAAAAATAATATTTGTCTTATATTTTATAAGTAGAACATAAAAAATCATAATTTCCATTTAGTCAAGTTTACCATTGAAAAAAATATATTATCATATTAATTACCAACTTTGTTGTATGGTCATATAATTATTAATTGTCTTTACATTTACATACATATATATTATACTAAGTAATTAATAAATATTTAGTTTTCTAAAAAAGAAGCCTTACTGTTTGACTGCACTGTTACCTTATTGTTAAGTCGCAATTTACATAAATTAATAGGAAGAAATAAGAAAAACAAAAGAAATAGAATGTTCTGCTTATTAAAAGATTTATAAATTATTAATATTAATTATCTCATATTTATGCAGATTGAAATGTTTACTAAGTTCTAGCAATATGGTGCATAAATTAAAAGTTCGAATTGTATCACCTGTATGATGGCCACCCATGCTGAACACATAACTGCGTTCACATCTAATTGCCACAGGTGGATTTGATGCAGCTTGCATTAATATACAAAATTTAGTAATAAACAATAGTATAACAATCTCAAGACATAACAATCAATTGTAATTAAAACAGAATTATGGAATAATCATGCGCAAACATGTATATATGTGTATGTTAAGATTATTTATTAAGTAAATTTATGCTTACTTTGCCCTTTGAAGACATAACTACGATTTCCACGTTGCCAATTTGCATGATCAAAACCTAATAGAGTAGTGTCAATCCTCACATTACTACCTTGTTTGTAAACTTTATAGGTATCACTTGGACACATCCGAGATGCGAGAGGAACTGGACAACACAAAAACAACAGTTAACCACATGTAAGTTACTAAAGAAAAATCAAAGTATATATCTTCAAGTTAAAATTAAAATCAAACATAAGCTGTGAATTAAACTAATATGTCTAGCATAGCAGATTTAATCAAATACATTTAAAATCAAGTATTATAATCTTCATTCCTTACCCCAACTTGTGAACTCCCACTTCATTTCTACATAAAAATCTGGTGCCTGAAAAGAACTTCTGTTACTAGGACTATCAAATTAGCAATGAAGAATGTAAAAAAAAATATCGTAATATTATTAGCTTATATAACAATTCATACACACACACATATAAGAAACACATAGGTTATTTTAGCTATACAGAGATTGTAGAAAAAATGTTCTCATCTACTAGAACATATTATTTGTGTATATAAACACACAATATGTTTTTCTAAATATTCTCATTTTACTTTATATGTATATGTACATATCAGACAAAAAGTAAATATCTACTAAATTTAAAATATTTCTAATTACTAATTATTACAGGGTAACTGACCTGCTTAAGCTTATGAAGCAATTCTGGTATGCCAGCCACTCGATTGCAGTACCTCTGATAATCTCGTCGAGCTAGCACTATTTGTAGTAATTCAGGATTCCCTGTACCAACTGCTTCTTGAACAACTATATTGAGAAAGGTTAAATTATTTGTTAATAAACTTTCTAATATAAACAAATATGTTTTGCATTTTATAAAGAAATTAATTAATAAATAAAAACTATCTAGATATATGTAGACATAGTACATGCTTATTCCAGAAATAAATATATTATGAAAAAAAATTACCACTCCATCCCTGAGTATTCTCTGTATTAACATTGGCTTCATGATGTAATAGTACTGTAGTAGAATCTGTATGACCCAAAGTTACTGCCAACATTAAAGGTGTCCTCCCACGATTGTCATGTTTTTCTATATCATGCTAAGAAACATTTAAGTAGTTATATAATTTCATTCATACTATATTTTATATTTAAATATTTTACAATTAATACAAAGCATATATGCTAATATATACTTTGAATATTCTGATATCCTGCTTATTTCTATTTTTGTTATTATTGTATATTGTGTTTCTCTTTAAGTCTATTTTATTATACCTTAACAGTATCTAATTTTACACGATGCAAAGTATACTAAAAGTTTTTTCTCATGATGGGCCACAGATATACTTTTAAAAATTCTTACTATATACTCAAATTATCTAACTAGAATAATTTAACAAAAGCAATATACTGGAATAACTTGTTTAGAATCCTAAATACAAAATATCTATATATATATATGTATATTTTTATAGTAATATATATGTATATATAATTAGATAAATGACAAAAAGTATATATCAAGAATATTTTAGAATAACATATGGCTCACTCACATTATAATACATAAGAATACACGATATCGTATCGAGTGACGTTAAATACGTAATTACCAGTAGTATATCAATTATATTCTCAGAAAGCTTGCTATCATTGATAACGAATCGGCACTTATCGATAAAAGAACACGTAAAACCGTACTTAGTAAGTACAAAGGAAATGTATATTTAACGTTAAACATGTATATGGCTTCATATAATACACGCAATCTAATTAATATCGGATGAAATAAGCTTGTTATAGCAGAATGCAAACCTGATTTGTGGATAGTTCCTTGTCAAGTTCTACATAGCTGTTATGCCAAACGAGCCAGTGCAGTGGATAATTCTTTCGTATAGTATCTATATTCACCATTTCTACTAAATTTGCTTGACGTCACATACAACACGCTTATTGTGACAAATACCACGATGCACCAAATGCACAATACGAAATTTTGACAGCAAGATACATGATATTAAGCGAGTGACGACTATTGGTCGTTGAATGTGCGATGCTTAGGTGGCATGCTGCGTGTGTGAGATTCGAAGGTCAGGCAGTTACGAGGAAAGAAGATTGAGGACCGTATCCTGGAAGTTGATCATGAATCTTCGACTTTAGCGTGAATCCCTTGAAAGTGGAACTTCTAACTTGGAAGCATTTGAAAATGCCCACTTTTCACGACTTCATATTCGAACGAGTTCATACTGAAAAAGGTTTTATGTAGTTCGTTCTTTTTTACTTCTCTCCGCACTACTCTGTGCGCATATCGGTTCTTTTTTCCTCCTTTTTCCAGTCTCAACTTATGACGCTCGGCTCCGTAGGTCGAACAGATGTGATTGGTCACATGACTACCAATAAGAACATTGTATTTGGATCACGTCCGTGATATACCATCTAGAGATATATTATTAATCTATGTATAACGGTTAGGTTAGGGTTTGAAGAAGAGACCGTTGTAAGGTAAGAAAGAATTCTACTTTATAAAATAGGTTTAAATTTAGTAGTTTATGCAGAAAACGATCTTCGTGTGGCAATCCTCTTTTTCAATCATTCGTCTGGTGATTACAACGAAATATGCATCTTTTACCTATATTCATATACCCGTATTCATAGTCCTTTCTTAAGGAACCCAGACAGCACACGAATGTCCATTGGACATCCGTTATATGTCCATTTTTTTTTTACAAAAGACGTCCATAGGACGTACGTTTGTCACAACTTCGGACATAGCACGTCCGATGGATGTGCATCGGACGTCTTACAGGTCCGATGTCCAATAAGGACATCCTTGTTACGTTCAATTTATGTCCACGGACGTAAATCGGACATACGGACATAAATTGGACGTGAAACGTACATTCATTGGTCATACATACATCAACACATACATCAACTCCGTTTAAAGCAAGTTGTGGAACTGGGCCTAAGGAGCCTTATTGGCTTCCTTATCTCAAGGGAGGTCACGAGCTTCCTTGAAGAGGAGATGCCGCCTTTGGTCTGTTCGTTTTTGCTGCCCTTCTGAACTAACGCAAAAGTTAGAGTGAAATAAATATATTTTCTCTTACTCTAATGTGTTAGTTCAGAAGTGCAGCGAAAATGAACAGACCACTTTTAGCACATGATGCGCAGAGTACACAGAGTACAACCACATATAACCTATAAAAATTTGTCACATTTTAATTTTGTGGTTACTTGTGGTGTCGCGTTTTCAGACAAAGTGTATAAGGAAAAAAAGAATCTTGGACAATGTATTTTTAAATGATTCTGACGTGGGATTTGAGGACGAAAATTCAGAGGATCCGATTCTGTGTCGATCTGTGAAAAGGTACATTCGTGATTAGGAAAACCCCTTAGAATTTTTCGAAGATGTTCCTTTTCGGAAAAGGTTCAGCAAAGAAGCTGTGATTGCGATCTTATTACCTCTCGTAAATGCTCGTAAATGGTTGAGGCGATTGAACAACTGTGGTTTCTCCATTAATGCTTAATGGCACTGCGCAACAAGCAGCTTTCAGGTTTGAAACTTTTGTTATAACACCGTGGTAAATAAATAGACAATTAATTTTCATTTCATTTGTATGCTGTTTTAATTGCAGATTGTTAATGGAGACTTGCGAGGATACAGTCAAGCATCAATATCGAGAATTGTTGCATGAGTTTCCAGAATTTTAGCATCATATTTGAATGCATATATTAATTTTTCTACCGAACAAAAACGTCGAGATAATAAAAATAAAGGTAATTATACAGAATACCTCCCTCACCTCCGATATTGACGAAAAAATATTTAATCGACGCATTTTTGCAAGAGAAACAACTTTTCTATTTGAAAAAATCATCGCTCTACTCTGTGGAGCGAGATATAAATTATTAAATTTGATAACAATTTATCCAGCGAGAAATGACTCGTCGATCGACGTCGAAACGATGTCGAATCGACGTCGAAATAATCAAATCGATGTCGATTCGACATCGTTTCGAAGTCGATCGACGAATCATTTCTCGAAGGGTAGGTTAGGAAATCTGTCACGGAGGCGACAGATAAGCAAGATTCTGGATGGGTTTGCAACATTGCAACTTTCCACGCGCAACAAAGACGGGATGGGTGTGGGAAGGGGGCCGAAGGCCCCCCTTGCACCCCCCCGTATGTGTGCGTGTGTGTATACACATATGTTTCAGCATTTTCATTTATTAAACATATAAATTTTTAGCTCATGTATTAGTGGTTATTTTTTTTTTAATAACCACTGATACATAAGCTACAAATTCATATATTTAATAAATAAAAATGTGTCAAACATATGTACACACACACACGGGGGGTGTAAGGGGGGCCTTCGGCCCCCCTCCCGCACCCACCCTGTCCTTGTTGCACGTGGAAAGTTGCAAACCCATCCGAAATCTTGCTTATTTATCGCCTCCGTGACAGATTTCCTAATCTAAATTGTTATCAAATTTAACAATTTATATCTCGCTGCGCAAGGCAGAGCGACGATTTTTTCAAATAGAAAAGTTGTTTCTCTTGCAAAAACGCGTCGATTAAATATTTTTTCGTCGATATCGGAGGTGAGAGGAGTATTCTGTATAATTATCAAAATAAATTTTATGATGTAGCCAACTGTTCATCCACAATAAGATGTATCGATTGCAGCCATATACCATACGCATAGCGAATCTTGGAGGAAGTAATAGAGAGGTATTCCGGAATCGGAAAGGATGGTTCTCTCTAAATGTACAGATACATTTTTTCAATTGTTTTATTTTGTGTGCATGTCAAATTTCGTATGTTAAATAATTATGAATAAGTTAATAATAAGTTAATTTTTATGATTTGTTTTTATAGGTTGGCCCTCAACGAGAAATTCTTGACATAGTTATCAGGCATCCAGATTCAACTCATGATGCCGTAATATTTGATTGAAGCGGTCTAAGCTGTCGTTTCGAGCTAGGACACCTAATGGCGCGATTCTTTAACTCGTTATTGGAGTTAACAACACTTTCGTTACTGCTGCGCAGCTTTTGTATATCGTAGAAAAGCTGCGCAATGATAACGAAACTGTCGTTAACTCCAATAACGAGTTAAAGAATCGCACCACTGGACGGCATTTTATTTGGTGTTAGTGAATATGCGTGCCGCAGTTATCTACTGACGCCTGTTTTAAGACAGACGCAGAAATTCGATACAATACTGCAGATACCAAAACATGAATTATCGTTGAACTGTTCGGAGTTTGGAAATGTCGATTTCCATGTCTGTACTACGGCTTAAGAACAAAGTTGACCACATCGGTGGTAATTGTATGTGCCACTGCCGTTTTACACAATGTATGTATTCAAAATAATTTGAGTGAAGTGGTCGGAGAGGAGCTTAATGAGAATATATTTGAGGATATTATAAATCGAGAACAAAATGGTATAGGACTTGCGCACAGAAATGCTTTTATTTTAAGACATTTTTCTTAAATATGAAACAGTTCTGTGAACTAATTATATTTTTTATATTAAGTTTATATCTACGATGAATGGCATGTTCTAATAATGTTAATCAAGATAAATTCATACAAATTTACACTTATACATATATTTAGATTAAAAATTAATAATTATTTGAAGGATGTTTTATTTATTTACCAAAAACTAAACTAAAATGTTTCTTATTTAAAGTGGCGTTTCAAAATTTAAAAACACAAGATTTCATCTTTTGTAATAAGTATATTTTATAATAAACAAAAAATTTATATAAATATTTTACATTATACTTGTAACAATAACTACATATTTAAAAACATAACTTACATCTGTAGGATAACTTTATAAAGGTTGTTTTATCATATATACAAGGTGTCTCGTAACTAATGTTGCAGAGCTTGTGGAGACATAGAGCGGGTTAAGACAAACATAAAAGTCCTATACCGTTATGCGAGATTCGCAATAATTATCGAATTATTAATGACAGAAATCTGACGAGTGAGCGCGCGTCGAAATGGATGATTGGAGAAGCGTCGCAGCCGGGCCATAGCACGGCTCAATCAATCTAGCAACTATTGGCAGAATGCGGCGAAACGTAGGAGTGGCGAAATAAAACACGAATAGCGACACATTGTCCTTCCCTTCGCCGCGCACCGGCAGTTTCTGGATCGACTGGGCCGCGCTCTTGTCGAAATGGCTGCAACGCTTCTCAAATCATTTATCAGTCGGCGCGCTTCTATTTCTCAGATTTCTATCATTAATAATTCGATAATTATTGCAAAACGGTATGGGACTTGTATGTTTGTCTTAAACCGTTCTATGTCTCCATGAGCTCTGCAACATTAGTTATGAGACATCCTGTATATATTATATCGTTGTCAATATTTTATATATTATACTATGTTTGCTTGAGTGCCTCTTCCTTCTTCAACAGTTTTAGCATAACAATCTTCTCTTCTGCTTCTGCAATCGCCATTTTTTTAGCATGAAGCTCCCGCTGCTGCTCAATTGCTTCTCGTAGTTTTATTAATCTTAATTATTTTTTGTTACAGTTCTGAAAATCAATTACTTTACCATTAGTATTTTATTATCATTAATTTGATGAAATGAAGATTACTTTCCCCCTTACTTTTGTTTCGTTGCAATTTCAATAATATTGCCAGTAAGATAAATATCATATTACTATATAAACGTTATACATTAGGCTGTTGCTGAAATATTTATGTATTTAATTTCATACACAAATCAGTTAAAATTATGTGTTCATTTAATGTTGTAATATACAAAGTTTAATATGTAACGTTACTGGGATATATTTGCTTTACCAGCAAGTTATTGAAATGACAACGAAATATTATTCATATTAACGAATATTAATAATTAATATAAACTAAAATTTATAAGATTTTTCATTGCCATTAGATTTTTACTCTTTAAAGCGGTCCCTTTTTCCAATGGTGTGCTATGAGATTTGGATGGGATGCTCTGATCATACAGAAATACATCATTAGTATCTTCCTCGTCCTTCTCATTTTCATCTTCGATGATCACTTATGTGGATGGTCTTTATGTGGATGTAGAACATATCTGTACATTATCTGAAAAATGAAAAGTCAAAATTGAATGTTGTAATATAAAAGAAAAATAAGATCTACATATAGTGCTTACATTCTTTCTCAAATACCGCAGTGCTGTCAAATGGGCAATTAATTTCTGCGTCTAAATTAGCATGTGTTGCATCCATGAATTCCATTACTGGGTCATTCGGTTGTACTAATGCAGAACCTCCACCTGTCATAAGCCGGTGTGGTACCGGATCGTCGTGTTTAATTTTCGTTTCTTGAAATGATAAATTAATAAGATAAATATCAAAATATAATAAAAAGGAACTAAATATAAAGACATACATATGTTAAAAGAAGTTCACTTAACAAAAGTATATATAATAAACTGATAAATTATCAATAAGATCATTATTACTTTTATTTCATGTTATCCCAGCATTTCCTCAGTTGTTTGCTGGAACGAAGCGTACAACTTTCGCTAGCATATTTTTTTGTTACTCTCTCCTATGCCTCTGCCTTATTCTTCATATCTGTCGCATCGGTTTTTTTATATTTAATAACTTTTTCTTCCGAAATAAGCCGCGCCAAGAGCATTCTCTCCCAGTCCGTATAATGAACACTTTTGTCCATTATTGACTAATATGATTTTTGTTTTATTGTAAATAAGATAGTGACAGGACTGACAGGTTATAGGCCTGTTCTTTCCATGGACCTAAGAATCTATGAACAGCGCAAAGCATATATTGGGAATATAGATTGGCAATAGATTGGGAAATATATGGGCGGTAAGGAGGGGTATAGCGCTGTCTCTTTCTACAATAGGACACTGTCGGATGTTTCCACACACACGATGATTTCCGAAGTTAACGAATATAACATATAAGTCTTTCCCCAGCAAACACAATATTACATGTAATGTGCATGTTAGTTATAATTTCCTACTCAACAATATAACTGTTATATAACACATGTGTTTTTCATATATATATATATATATATATATATATATGTCACATATATATATGTATACAGGGTGCACGATTTATCTGAAGATATTGAAATATCTCGAGAACTATGCATTGGATAAAAAAAAGTGGTTAATGAAAGTTGTTAGTCTCGAAGGGGGACATCCAATGATACCAAACTCGACCTCCCACCCCACCCCCTGGGGGTGGGGGTTGGGGGCAACTTTGAAATCTTAAATAGAAACCCCCATTTTTTATTGCAGATGCGGATTCTACGCCATAAAATACGTAAATTTTGTCCGAAACTTTTTTCGATTCGTGATAGATGGCGCTGTAATCGCAAAAAATTATATTTTCCGCAATTCGCCAGAAATGATCATTGGATTGAGAAATAAAAAATACCTGTTCAATATTTTTAAGGAACATAATAAAAGTTATTTCCCCCCCCATCCTCTCGGGGTAGGGTGGGTGATAACGTTCAAATCTCAAATGGGGACCCACATTTTTCATTGCAGAATTACATTGTACGTGAAATTTTTATTGAAACAATTTTTTTCATTCGTGATAGATAGCGTTGAATTTTTCCAAGAAACTACTTTTAGCGTTACACAGGAACAACGACGAGGACGTAGTAGTATTATGTTCCCTTCGGGTGCTTTTTTAATGTGAGTCCCCTTGCCTCTCACAGATCGGGGTGCTTCTTTAATGTGAGTCCCTTTGCCTCTCACTGTTCAATTAATTAGAGTAAGTATTCGAAATTTTTACCTTCAACTTCAATACACTTATTGATCCTTTTTTCAAATGACTGTACACAGGATAGAAGCATATCTGCGGGAATTTCAGCGCAAGCGTTTCTTATGCGTTCTACCATGTTTTCACGAGTTGTTGGCACTTGTTGATAAACCTTATCTTTTAGGTTAGGTTGATAAGCCTTATCTTTTTAATAACTTTTATTATGTTCCTTAAAAATATTGAATAGGTATTTTTTATTTCTCAATCCAATGATCATTTCTGGAGAATTGCGGAAAATATAATTTTTTTGCGATTACAGCGCCATCTATCACGAATCGAAAAAAAAGTTTCAGACAAAATTTACGTATTTTGTGGCGTAGAATCCGTATCTGCAATAAAAAACAGGAGTTTCTATTTAAGATTTCAAAGTTGCCCCCAACCCCCACCCCCAGGGGGTGGGGTGGGAGGTCGAGTTTGATATCATTGGATGTCCCCCTTCGAGACTAACAACTTTCATTAACCACTTTTTTTATCCAATGCATAGTTCTCGAGATATTTCAATGTCTTCAGATAAAACGTGCACCCTGTATATATACAGGGTATCCCATTTTAAAGGACCCACTCAAATATCTCAAAAACACTCCGTTAAATCGAAAAATGATTCAGACAAAAGTTGTTCAAATTAGTTGGTAGAAAAAGATAATATAATAAGAGATTGGGATTTCTATTTAAGAAAATTGATGATCAGTGAATATCTCGAAAGTGATGCCATTTATAAACAAAATGCTATCGCTGTCTTATGTCTTCCTTCAAGCCAAACAGCTTTTGTCTGAAACATTTTTTCGATTTAACGCAGTATTTTTAAGATATTTGAGTAGGTCCTTTAAAATAGGACACCCCGTATATATTGAGTCTTCTGGAAAGTTTTTATTTAATGACGGCAGAAGCGAAAGATCGTATGCCACAAATTGTTTTTGTTATATAGATACATTCCAAAAGATGATATTTGTGATCGATCTAGCAAATTTATAAAATATTCTGGACACACTTTCCTCTTGTTGTGACAATCAATAATTTTCCATAAAAATTCTGTAACAATAATCATGAGAGATATGTTCAACTCAACATTTGTATACATTTCATTAATTATTTACAGTGAATGATTATCATACAGCAAAAGAAAAGTGCTCGGAACATTTTACAAATTTGTAAAATCGATCATAAGTGTCGTTTTATGGAAGTCTCTTATTTTAACGTACATGAAAAAAAAAAGATTAATATACCATTGTTTTCATTTCTGACATCAAACAAGAATAGTCACAGAAAGTTCCCAAGATCTGTAATATTTCAAAGAATAAAATGATATTTTAAAAAGACGCCGTTTTATCGACTCAATAGAACGTCAATAAGATGTCACCTTGTTATTTGGAATAATACAGGTCTTAAAGACTTGCGGTAACTATTCTTGAATTAATAAGACGTCTAAGTTTGGGATATGAAACTAAATCATTGTGAAACTAAATCGTGGTGATTAAATATAATTGGTGATTAAATATGAGAATTAGAGTATGTGACGTGGCGATTTTGGGGTCGCCCGTCACAAGAGGCGGAGGGTCTCCGAGGGGGTCCCCGGGCTGTCGCGCTCGGTCGCGATCGTGACACGAGCTGCGTAATTTTACGGAGGAATCGCGGATATGTTTTGGTTGGTGAGCGATCTCGTACCAGCAGGTGCAGGATTGCTGTTCTTTTTCTTTCTGGTGATACTCCCGCGGCCCTATGACTTGTGTGCCCCTTCGCCGTGGGTAGCCTCCGACTAGCAGGAGCAGAGGACGAGGGAAAAGAGACCGAGAAGGAAGGAAGGAGATATCGAGAAGCCGCCGCGAGCATTAAGGGATCTCTCAGGTGATGTCATTGGCCCACTTATAATTTCGGTTTCGAACAATTGTGCCGTTAAGATCGCACCGCTGCGATCGATATATTTTTGTCTATTATCGTAGGCACGAAAACAAACCGGGACACGACACCTGCTAACGAGGAACCTGGATCACGCGGAAGAGGCTCGTCGACAAAGGAGAAAATAAAGAGCCGCCTCTCGATGTCGCGTGATCCCGGAAGGAAAAAAAATTGAAGCAACAGGAGCAACGTCGTTCGAGATCGGAGGAAGAGATCTCACTTCTGGCGAAGACGCGAACAGAGAACGAACGCATAATTGTTGTCGAAAAAGACCTCGCGAGCTTAGGGGAGCTATCGCATTTTTTTATGGTGTCGTGGGTGCATGGGCGTGCAGTGTATCGTGCACGTGCGAATCCCGGAGAGAGGTAGCGAGAGCGAGCGAGGCGGGCTAGAGAGAGAGAGAGAGAGAGAGAGAGAGAGAGAGAGAGAGAGAGAGAGAGAGAGAGAGAGAGAGAGAGAGAGAGAGAGAGAGAGAGAGATCGAGCGAGGGCAGGCGGCGAGAAGGAGAGCGAGCGAATCGGACCAGTGGAGGAGCGCGACGCAACCGAAGGAGGCTGCCGCCGGCGTGAGAGAGTGTAAGAGTATCCGTCTGTAGTAGCCTTTGCTGCGTGAACCGCTTGCGCGGCGGGACCGATCGGCTGTCGGACTTTGGGGCGAAAATTTGTGTTGAGAGTTGGTGTCCGAAGCCGTTTGGCGGTCCTCCCGCGGAACGCGGGGAGCAGGGCGTCTCTCTCTCGTACGCGAGTGTTAGCAGCTATCGAAAGCACGAGTTGTGCGCTGCGAGGACATATCGGGTCGATATCGCCTCTCCGTCAGGAGTCAATCGGACAATTTTTGTACGTGGCCCGCGAGTCACCGCGTATACCGAACAGCTATCGGAGTAGCGATCCCGGCGGGACTCAGGTGTCGCCGGGACAGGAATACCGAATTGAAATATACGTCGTTTCTGTTAAACCGCTTGAGTCCGCATTATTTCCAATTCCCACCCCCGACTCCGACTATAATTCTAGGAGTTACCGGTCTCGTAGACGATCGAGTCGTCTCGCCGCCGCTATCGTTAGTGTTGGTGGGCACGATCATCATGCATGGCGCCCAACCACTTTGGAGGAGGAAAGTTTTTGGCGACGAGGCGGAGGGCGACGGACAGATCGTCGCGAATTTTTGCCTGCTTCCTGCGTGATAGGAGCGGTCGCAAGCAATATACAAAGTGTCCCATAATTGTAACATACCAACTCCATAGGGGCGTAGAGCTAAGCGAGAGGAACGAAAAAGTGCTCTTCTATTTAGCGATATCTTGTATAATTTTTTAATAATAACCGCAATTTGAAATGTTGCTACAACATTGCAGATATAATAATGCAAAATATTGTTTTTGAAATATCTCTGCAATATTGCACTACAATGTGCAATGTTGCAACATTGCAGCAATATTGCTGCAATTGTCTGTGCTGTATGGATACTGCAACACAAAATTGACCCCAAAAATTATGTATTACATAAGGGAATCAAACATCTGCGTATGCGTATATTGGAGTCCACAAGGAGAGGGGGTATATAAACAATATGGCCCATCCAATTAGGAGAAATGTGTTTTGATTTAACCAATCGGACGTGAATGTCGGACACTAGGATGGTACATACTTTTCGGGGTCATGTATTGAGTCGGAGTTAGCAGTCTAATTATACTATAAAAGTCTGTGAGTACATCTATGAAATAAGGCGGCCTTGGAGACAGTGTTGAGAACATAGACATAGTATATCTAGACTGCGTGTTCTCCCAAATTTCAAGAGTGGAGGTATAACACTCGTAGAAAAGGAAGCACTCTGTTTTTACTATTCGTTCTCTCTCGCACAGTCCCGATGGAAGGGGAATAGAGGCGGTGGTTACTGTATAGCACTGTACAGCAACTGCCTCCCCTATACCCCTTCTATCGGGACTGTGCGAGATAGAACGAATAGTAAAAATCATAGACTTATAGAGATAGACTGCGCGTCCAATGAGAGGACTTGAGGGAAACATTAAAGTGAGAGGATCGATAGCTGAGCGAGTGTGTCTCTGTCTAACATGTGTCTTTGTGGGGGAAGCCGAAGAGGTGAAAGAGAGTGGGAGAGTTAAGCCCTAAACACAATGCCAGATAACAGACAATAAGAATAAAAATATACCAATCACAATCGACTATTACAAGAATAATCTATTGTGATTGGTCTATTTTTATTCTTATTGCCTGTTGCCTGGCATTGTGTTTAGGGTTTTATACGACCAGTACAACATTCCCCAGTACATCTTTCCCCTTATGTTCTTTTCTCCCCTTTCCTAACACAGAGCGAGAGAGAGAGCCTCACTCACGCAATATCTCTGTCCTCTAATGTTGTCTTCAGCACGCCCATAAGGAGGCGCAATCTATGGACCAGAGCACAGACTTCTGCATAACGCATAATACACAACGCATAAGATAATCAACCAATCAGAGTTCTTCATTTCTGTCCTGAGGAGGGAAATGAAGAAAACTAATTGGTTTATTCTCTTATGTGTTATGTATTATGTGTTATGCAAAAGCCTGTGCTCTTGCCCTATGGGCCAGAGCACAGGCTTTCTGCATAACGCATAATACACAACGCATAAGAGAATCAACCAATCAAAGTTCTTCATTTCTATCTTGAGGAGGGAAACGAAGAAAACTAATTGGTTTATTCTCTTATGCGTTATGTATTATGCGTTATGTATTATGTGTTATACAAAAGCCTTTGCTTTTGCCCTATCTCTATAAGTCTATGGTAAAAACAGAGTATATCCTTTTCTACGTGAGCTATACCCCCACTCCTCGAACACGCAGTTTAGATATACTAGATGCGCAACTAAGTTTTCGGATTTCACACATGGATGGCGCTAACGACACATGTAGTCGACATACATGTCTGAAGTTGTGTTTTTTTATAGCTTGGACATCTGTTAACAATAACCAGTCGTAATACCAACACATATCGCAACGCAAAAATATTTTTTCTAATCACGAAGATGTTGAGTTTTGTGCCAAATAAACAGCATTTGCGGGAAGCTTTGCTTTTCTGCTTTAACTTGAAAAAAGTGCAGCTGAAGCACGTCGTTTACTTGAGGAGGCCTACGGCGAACATGCACCATCGAAAACTACCTGTGAAGATTGGTTTAAACGCTTCAGAAGTGGCGATTTCGATACTGAGGACAAGGAGCGCTCCGGAAGACCAAAAACAAGCCGGAGGACGCTGATCTGCAAACGTTATTGGATGAAGATGATACGCAAACACAAAACCAACTTGCGGAGGTATCAAACATGACTCGCCAAGATATTTCCAAACGTTTACATGCCATGGGAAAAATTGAAAAGGAAGGAAAATGGATGCCGCATGAGTTGACTGAGAGACAAATGGAAAATCGAAGAGCCACTTCCGAAATTTTGCTTTTGCGGCATGAAAGAAAGAGTTTCCTGCATCGAATTGTTACTGGCGATGAGAAGTGGATATATTTCGAGAATCCCAAGCGCAAAAAATCGTGGTTTTCACCTGGCGAAGCATCAACATCGACGGCACGGCCAAATCGCTTCGGAAAGAAGACAATGCTCTGCGTTTGGTGGGACCAGAAAGGAATCGTGTACTATGAGCTGCTGAAAAGAAGCCGGGCGAAACTATCAATGGGCATCGCTACCGACAACAACTGATCAATTTGACCACCATGCATTGCTCGAAAAATGGTCAGAATGGGACACGAGACACGAATGAGTGATATTGCAGCACGACAACGCTCCGTGCCATTGCACTTCTATCGTCCAGGACGCCATCAAAACGCTGAAATGGAATCTGCTACCGCACCCGCCGTATTCGCCAGACCTGGCCCCTTCCGATTATCACTTGTTCCGGTCGATGGCGCATGGCTTGGCTGGGCAACACTTGGCCAATTTCGAAAAAGTGCAAAATTGGTTGGATGAATGATTTCGGTCTAAAGACGCGTCGTTTTATCGTCGCGGTATTCATGAGCGATATTGCCACAGAGATGGCAAAAATGTGTAGTTAGCAAGGGACGATATTTTGAATGAACCATTTTTTATATTTCTCTTGAAATTTTCCATTTTTCATTGATCAAAAAAACCCGGAAACTTAGTTGCGCACCTAGTACTATGTCTATGGCTGGGAATGCCATCGCGCGCACAGTCGCGGCCTATTCCCACCACTCACTCGATCTCCTCATGCTCCTCACGCGCTTGACGCAGTGAGCGAGATTGAGATAGCGCGCTCATGCTCGCCTTATCGCACGCCGAGCGAGACAGCGCGCTCATGTTCGCCTTGTCGCACTGACTTATCACGCGATAGATTTCTTCGCGTCCTCGGCGTGAATTCTAAATCCCCGAGCGGCTCAGGTCGAGCTGCAACTATGACCGTTAATTATACTCGATATAATTAATATATATAATTATTTATAATTATGAAAAATTGAGGAAGAAAGAAAACCACTCTTAACCAGAAACGTGGAGAGAATGAAATCATAAAAATAATATATTCTTACTCATTTATAACATCCCAAAACAATATTATTATACAAAAAAATATTAATATACATGCATAAAGTAAATAATTAGATGTGCACAAGCTATATTTTATCTTTTATAAAAGCGAATTAGAAAGAGATCGAATTGTACTAATTAATTTTGTTAATACCGGTTATTTAAAATTACTGTTCATAGTTTTACTTGATAATATGATTTTCTATGCATCGTCAAAATGTAAAGCAATTAATTGATCCTTCTGCTCTGATGTAAAATTTAGATGCAAAGATTGCCATTCTTTTTGTAAAATCTCCTCATCAAATCCGCTGAATCGTTTGGCAACAAAAAAACATCTTAAATGGATTTGTTCAGGCTGTTCTCTTCGTCTTCTTCCTGCAGAACAAATTTCGGCTCAAAAACTGTTAATTTATTAAGAAATTCCTCTTTCACAAAAAGTCTTTTCCGAATTTATTCTGCAGCGATGTTATAAAAAGATAAACAATTGGCATAAACTGATTTTACAATTTCACCGTGACCTTCCTCATTCAATCGATCAAGAAAGTCTTGGCAATCTTGTCCAACCAGAACTTGATCAAGAGATTGACGATTGCACACGAGTAACGGATTGATTATATCAATACCAACTAATTTTAATAATGGAGCTTTCACAACATTGCGTAGAATTGTTTTCAAAAGATTTTCCGTGGGCGACTGATGAACGTTTCTTCAGCTTGAAAAGACGCATTAAACTTGTTAAAAGCGACTAAAATATACTCAAAAAACAAAAGATATGCTTGTAATTCTGGATTTTGCATCATAGACAGTAAGGTAGCCCCAGACTTCGATTTTTCGCTCAATTGCTCTCCTTGCAAGAATTTTAATAACACGCCCCAATTTTTGTTCAGTCTAGCCACGCATGAATGACGAAAAAGCCATCGCGTTTCAGTCAGTTTAAAAATTTTTCTATTATTATCATGACCGAAAAATGAATTTTGAAATTGTTTAAAAATACACGCGCGTTTGGGACTGCTATTGATAAACGATGCCACTTTTCGCATCAATTCCTCACATGCTTCAGGAATTGCTGCGCAAACTGCATTTGTTACTAATGCAGGTGAATGACAAGGGCATGGCATCTTATTAAATTTTGGCAATATTGCAGTAATTTTGTTTTAAATGATTCATATTTTCCTGTCATAACGGAGATGTTATCACAGGAAAGAGCGAGAATGTTTTGGAACGGAATTTACTTTTTCCACATTTCATCTTTAAAAGTGGTAAATCATTTTTCGGCACTACAATCACTCGCGTCTAAATGAATAAATTCTAATAATTCCGTTCGAACATCCAAAGTCTGAGGCTCAACGTACAAGAAACGTCATCGATTTGTCATTTGTAATATCGGATGTTTCATCGATAAAAATAGAAAATTTATTATTTTATAATTTTTCCATAAGTTATTCCTGCTCACGAGCATATAAAACACTATTAATTATTTTTGGACCCTTCTTCCGATGCATTGTCATACTTTGCAAAACTGCGGAATCTTTTCCAACGTCTTGAAAAAAACTCAAAATTGTTTCTGCCGTTTGAAACGAAATGTTTTTTTCGGTAATTAATGCTGCAAATTTTACTTCAACTATTTTTTCCGATCTGTAAAAGGCAGAAAAGATTCTTCATCTGGCGTATTCAAATCTTCGGTAAAGCCGCTTTTGCGACACTCAAAAATGTGTTTCTTCGTGTCGCTATGCCGCTGAAGCTCGTTGAGACCACATTGAAACTTTGAATTGCAGAAGGAGCAAAAAGAACTGTATGGATCATTCGGGACTTTTTCCAGCTATGGTTTGAATTGTTTATTTTCAAGCCATAAATGATCAAATTCCCTCCTGTAAAATTCCTTTTCAGTTGCTTTTACTTCTACGGGGCAATTTTGCAAAGCGTTATTTCGATGAAGTGTCAACTCGGCGTGTCTAGAAACTCGTGATGAGCAAACGTTTTATTGCATACTTGACAAAAATATTTACTATAGTCCTCAGGGACTTCTTTTATCCAAGATTTATAATTGTCGTTTTCCAGCCAATCATGAGAAAAAGCTTGTTTAAATTTCTTAGCACATTTAAAATCCATATTACAGGAGAAATACTGAAGAAATAAGTACAGAAATAAAGATCTAAAAATAGCAAATAACGCAAAAAAGGCAACTGTAAATACTTCGAAAAAAATTGTATATGAGAAAAAAAATAGAAGAAGCGTCTAAAGAATCTTACTTCACAACTATATTGCGTGGAAATAGAATCTATGATGACCAAACAATCATAAATTATATACTAATAATACACTAATAATACACTAATAATATACATAAAATACTACCTATGAAACAAGTCTACATACTGTAAGCAGTTAGCAGACTGTCAAGACCGCGGAATATTAGATAGAACCGTTAAATTATCGAGAACGAGATAAACGAGGAATATAAACAGATCTCAGACAAATAGACTTGGCGACCGAAACTGTTGTTTTGAATGTTAGTTATTGTTCGTAAGTCTTTGATTAACTTGTATTTGACAATATATCATCGATAATCATATCCCGAATAATATGACGCCTCGTTGCCTTTATCCGCGGGTACATCAGCATCGACGTGGACTAATAAGAAGTCTCCAGGACGATTCGAAACAAAGATTTAAGGGCAGCAACGAGGAAAAGGAGGACACATTATTCTCGCACACATTTATTGCACACTTTATTTTACTCGCTTTTTGCTTTTGCTTTTCGGCTTTGTTCGGCTTACGCTTTGCTTTTGTCACGATTATTGTATGAGCATAAATATCGTTATCTGTTATCATTAAATTGCTTCGAGTACGTGTCACTTTTCTACCGTGTGATCATCCTTGCCGCCTTTCTTTTCGAGCATCGCGGCGGCTTTCTCGACCATTTCTCTGTTTCGCTTACGGCTTAGCTTACTGACTACCTAGGCCTTAAAATATTAAACATCAAACAGCTACGAAAACACAAAAGAATAACCGCTAATCGCACTACGTTTACAAGCGGTAGACAAAGAACAATTAAAAGCGAGACTCATGCCAGATTCGGAACGTTAAGAGAATAGCTATTGCTTGCTTCTATGATCTCCGCCGTACGCTGTTCTGCTACAGTAGCATCGCTTGTTTTTCTTTCATAGAGCGCCTACGCCGCGCAATATCATTCCCCGCGTTTCCTCTTTTCCTTTTTTTTATCGCAGCTCGGCCTGAGCCGTTCGGAGACTTAGGATTCACGTCGAGAAAACGATAGAAAAGTCGATGGACGTTAAATAAGACATCGGATCTTACAAATTTTCGGCAAGAAATACGTCACCCGGCAGACCGCGACTCTGGCAGTGAAATTTTTTATACGATCTAAGATCGCGGTCTGCCAAATGACGTTTTTCTTTCTGACCGAAAACTTGTAAGATCCAATATCTTATTTTATATCGTTTCATGTTTCTAAAAATATCATCTAGGCAATTAAATACTAATAAAGAACCTGATATAAATTTTTCATAATTATAAATAATTGTATATATTAATTATATCGAGTATAATTCAAAGTAGCAGTCGGCCTGAGCCGCTCGGGGATTTCCCAGACAGCACACGAATGTCCATTGGACGTCCGTTATATGTCCATTCTTTTTTATAAAAGACGTCCATAAGACGTACGTTTGTCACAACTTCGGACATGGACGTTCGATGGACGTACATCGGACGTCTTACAGATCCGATGTCCAATAAGGACATCCTTGTTACATCCAATTTATGTCCACGGACGTAAATCGGACATACGGATATAAATTGGACATGAAACGTACATCCATTAAATGTCCGGTGATGTCTGGATCATGCGCTTTAAACCGTCAGTGAGTTTTGATATAAACTACGTTTACACGACAAGGTTAATCCGGATAGTAACAACCGTAGTTGATGAATTCTTTGATTCGATTGATATATTCTTTTAGATCTAAAAATATACTTTAATCGGATTCGACACTGCACTAAAGCCAGCGGTACACGGTGCTTGTTTTCGTGCTGGATTGCTTGCTGGATGAAAATACTGCATTGTGATTGGTATATTTTCGAAGATGGATGAAAATGCACCAATCAGAACACAGTATTTTCATCCAGCAAGCAATCCAGCACGAAAACAAGCATCGTGTGCCGCTGGCTTTAGAAGCCGTGTAAACGTAATCATATATGTAGCTTACGTCACTTCAGGCATGCGCTGTAGCATGCCTGAAGTGACGGGAAATTCTTTGGATCTCGCAGCACTTTGGCCATAACGGAAGTCGGCTGATCCCGAGCGCCATTCAACCAATATACTACTACTAATTTTTTCGTCATTTGCTCGCTAAATGTATACGCATCTTTATGAATTTATACTTGTCTCTTGTTGATTTTTAATATTTCGATTTTAATTATAATTATAACTGTTTTCCACCTACCTCGTCACATATGAATATTTCATATTACTAATATGAAATAAGGAGTCTGTTCTTTATAGTTGCACTGCTGAACTAGTGCAATAAGTTAAAATGAGACAACTATATTTTTTCTCATTCTAACTTATTGCACTAGTTCAGCAGTGCAGCTATAAAGAACAGACCAAATTTAAAATATAAGAAATTATTTCAGATTTACATATGAATCACAGATGAAATACATGTTTATTATTTATTTATTTATTCATGAATATAATGCATATCTCAAATTGCTGAGAGTGCATGTATATGATTGTAAACTCTATGATATAATTGCAATATAATAAGAACAAAATGCTTAAGTGGCTAATTGCTATACTTTGTATAGCAATTGCAAATATTTCTTTGGACTATACTTCTTTCATCCAAGATGAAAGTTACAAATGTAAACTAGGAGCCAAAACTCCATATAGATGTGTAGCTAATTATAATGATACACCAATAAAATATTCAGGTATGCATAAAATTAATATTACTTTTGACATATCTGCTTGATATGAATGAATATGTATTGATATATTTTTTTTATATTCTCATTACAGGTTGTACAGAAAAAAAAATCTGGTTGCTTCTACGGCATGGCACCAGATATCCAGGCAAAAAGTATATACCTCGTATGTTAGATGAATTGCCAAAATGGAAACATATAATATTAAAGAATTATGATAATGGTGAAACAAGATTGTCAGCTGATGATGCTGCTTTATTTAAAAAGTGGAAACCAATATTTACTTCAAGTGATACAATGAAATTAGCAATAGAGGGTGAAAATGAAATGATTGATCTTGGGGAAAGATATCAAGCAAGATTTCCATCTCTGATGCCAGAAGTCTACAGCAATCAGACCTACAAAGTATATATGACTAAGTATTTGTTAAATATAAATTTATGTTCTTTAATTACTAGCTGCTTAGTTTTAGTTCAGATATACTTCAACTCAACGCACAGAGGAGAGTGCAAAACATTTTGCTGTTGGATTATTTGGTTGGCAAAAAAGTCAGTCTGTTTGGTATCCAGAACCAGCATACAGAGATCCTGTGTTGAGAGTAATTTTACTTTAATACTTAAATTTTAAGATGTGAATTACTAATTGTTTTCTTCCTTTTTGTGTCAACCATTTCTTGTTCATCTATCTGTTTCTTATTTTTATATATTTTTAGTTTTACAAAGCTTGTCCTCGTTGGCGTCAAGAAGTTGACAAGAATCCAAATGCAAAAGCAGAAAAGAACAAATTTTTGGATAGCAAGATTGTTACTGATATGTTAAATAATATTAAAGATTATATTGGCCACTATGTCAATTATGGTTAGTATCAATTATGTTATTTATATATGATTATTAGATATTTGATATATGTATACAGATTTAAATTGAGTGTTATATTGACATTTCTCATAAATTCAGTGCAAACGTTTCAGAAACTGCATTTTTAATGTATTCCATGTGTGCCTTTGAGACTGCTTGGGATCAAAATATAGTATCTCCTTGGTGCAAGATATTTTCCTTAAATGATTTTAAGGTGATATTTTGGAGAAATGATATATCTTACTTTTATATATATAAATTAGATTAAGCCATCAACCATTACCATTTAATTACAGATTTCACTAAAATAAAATATTTTTAAGTGAAAATTTTCTTGGAATTTATATTTTACAGGTATTTGAATTTGCAGAAGATTTAGGGCTTTATTGGATTGATGGATATGGATACCAGTTAACTTATCAACAAGCATGTCCTGTCTTAAAAGACATGTTCGACTTCTTTGTGTACGTTATTTAAATAATAAATGTGATTTTGTTTTCGTAAATATAATATATGCAACATTTTGCATTTAAAGAATATGGTTTATTTTACAGGTCCAACAAAAGCCTAATAACAACGGTTTATTTTACACATTCTGGGACAATTCTAAAGTTACTGTCTTTACTTGGAGTAGCTAAAGACACATATCCTTTAATGCACAATTCTTTTACATTGCATGAGGAGGATAAAAGAGCATGGAAGACCAGTATTATTGATGCATTTGCATCTAACATTGCATTCGTCCTATATGAGTATGTTTCTATTTTTTAATTATGCGTGCCATGTCACATATGTGTTTCATATATAATTGCCTGATTTTGCTTTTACCTGTAGTTGTCTATCTCAAGGTCCCAGTATTCTGTTCATGCTTCAAGAACGACCAGTATATTTGCCAAACTGCCCAAGGAACATGCCATGTTCAATATCTACTATGAAAGCTACATATCCAGATAATGATGAGGAATGTCTATTTCATGCTATGTGCAATATATCAACGTAAGAAAGTTAACAAAAATGCTTTTGTAACAGATTTCGTACAATGCCTTGACACTTGTGTGGGTGTGTGTGTGTGTGCGTATATAGGCGCACATGCCATATCTAAGTCATTAAATATTTTTTGTAAAGCAAATATGTTATTCGGATAAACAATATGTTAAACATGATTCAGAATTCGTGATACTTGTTACGTGCGACAAATTCACATATGTGAAAGAAGAAAATCATTATCATCATCATCTCTTAAGCTTCTTTTTATGTCTTCATAAATAATTAAAAATGGCGAGGGTTTATTTGTTGAGTGTACAGCCCTGAGGGGAATAGGAATCTGACTATTGTAGACAGAAATGAGCGCAACACATGAGTTGCATGACAAATTCATTACCATCATCATCATAACAAACGCAACGTTAATAAATTTTATCATTTATATCAATTTATTATGTTGTCTTTTTCTTACGATTTCCTTACGGTTTCCTTACGTACTATTTTATATTCTTTTACAGTTTTTTCTCACAAAATTTTTTCAAACAATATTCCTTTTCTGATATAACTATTTCCCTGAAAAGCGAGAGCTATATCGCTCATATCCATGAGCGATTTTTGATTAATTATCTTTCGATTCTCTATTACTACCTATGCCCATTGGTAGAATGGCGCGTAGGATACGGTCCTGGTACCCTCAGCTGTGTATTGGAGATTGGAGATAAGAAATTAGAGTTCGTCCCCACACTATACATATAACGGTATACTTGTAATGGAAACAGGTGAAACTTGTATACTTACACAATATAGTTACGTAGGAGATTATATGTGCAAAAGATATCTTTTTATTGTTATCGTAAAAAATGGTTCACACAGACTGGGACCGTATATTATCTGTAAACGTTTCCTCTTTGACGGACGAAGGAATCGAGGATCTTTTTCCTGCGGTGATCCGATGCGATGTAGACGAGATCACCGATGTACACAGCTTGCGGACACTCATGAGATTATCGCAAGAAATCATGACTTATAAGGACAATCAAGTAAAGGATTAATTATATATGTTTATTATATATTTTTATGAAGATATATACGATTGTGTGCATGTATCTTACAATGAGGTATTTTAATTGCCCCAGTTAAGAAATATCTTTGCTCTGTTTACTTAGTTAATGATATAATTAAACTGTTATTTTGTGAAAAAATAAAATACAATAAATTGCATATTATGAAATTTCATTGCAAATGTATGTTAATTAAAACTAAAAAGAAGAACTATGCAATATTTATCAATATTCAATTACTACAAATTAATTATTTGCCTTTTATGGACTAAATAATCTGATCCAACTATAATTATTAATGCATATATAATACAATAAGTTTATGTTGTATGATACAAGATTCGATCATATATCTGATAATTTAATATTTTTTTCTTATCACAAAAATAAAATATTTTCTTGTTAACCATCTTGCATAATATATATTTATTGATGTTAGGTGGAAGCTTTACTCCTCGAATGTGGTGAATTAAAAGAAACAATAGCTTCATTACGTCCTGAAGTTGCTAAGCGAAAGATCAAAAGTAATTTATATTTATATAATAATTATAATAGTTATATATCATTATCATTAAGATTATTAAATGTCCTAAAATATATTTATATTATTATTATTTTTGTAGGTCATGATATACCTACAATGAAACAAGAATCTGATGGCTATAGCAAGGTAAAATTTTATATCATTTTTGTAACACAAAATTATACCATATATTTTATATAGTAATTGAGATTTTTATGTATAAAGATTACCGGTTTAATGGAGCAAACCTCTTATACAGACACAAAAGAAAAAAACGAAAAAATTAAGATACTTATGTTAGAACTAGAGGTAAGTATAAGTAATAAATAATTAGGAAGTTAAAGATTAACACTTCATTTTGCTATTAAGGATTTTTCTTCTGTAGAATTTGGATAAAGAAAATGATGTTCTCAAAGAACGGCTAATAACATTGAAGGATGAGATGGAAGATGCAACAGAAAAAATGAATGGAATGACTGAAGAATTACGCTCTACTCAAATAAAAATTGCAGAATATAAAGGTACTTTGTGAGAGTAGTTTATAGTTTCAATACAATATGTTTAATACATTTTAAATAAATACAAACATTAATTTACTATTATGCTTTTATGTTATGTTATTGTAGATAAAATATTGAGTTTAAAACAAGAAAATGCTGCTTTGATTATTCAAATCAGAGAAGTAACGGCACAACAAATAAACAGAGACAAGATGTTAGACGAATTTAGTGTAGCTATTGATGCTAGAGTATCTGAATGGAAGGTATGAAACAAATCAATATTTAATAATACAATTATATTAAAAAAATAGAAAATGTGCACATAATTTATATATATTTATATTATTCTTATGTTATAAGGGCATATTGGATGAAAAAGATGATGAAATTACACGTTTAAAAGAAAGCTTATCACAATCATTAATGCAATCTGTTTCATTGGTTAAAGAAGAAAATAAATTCGAGATTATTCATCTAAATGAAGAAATAGTTCGCCGTGATACAATTATAGTTGAGTTACAGACTAAATTGTCCGAAGCAGTTGCTGAAATAAATGAGAGTGCTACACTTATAGAGAAACTAAAACAAAAAGTACAAGAGTAAGGGATATTTCCAAACTACACTTAATTCTTTAATCGCTTATTTTTAAATCATTAATTTTATTTATTTCATAGGCCTGTAAAAAGTGACAAACGGAAAGAACAGAAAAATCTGTTAAAAAGAATACAAAATGCAAATGAAAAAATTTCTAATTTGGAGAATGCATTATCTCAAGCACAAGATGATGCCAGGTCTCAAAGTAGCAAGGTAATATATATTTTAGTGATTTATTTTCATGTATCATGGTGTTATTATTAATTTAAGACACTATTTTCCAAATAAGAATTATATTAAATACTGTCTGTGTATCTTTACATGCAATTCGTTACTTTTAAATAACTAAATGATCCTAGTAAAGATGTTCTATGTATGCATCCTTCGTTTTATAAATATCTTAAATAATGGATTTGTATGTAGTTGTGCGATGTGCTATCTATCCTAAAACAATATGAAGAGGGAAATGAAGCATTAACTAAAGCATTAAATGAAATTAAAGAATTAAAGATCAAACTGGATCACAAAACTGAACATGTGGAAGATTTAGTTAATGTCGTTAATAAACTGGAGATGTTAAATTCGTATCAAGAAATGGAAATTTTAACCCTTAGGTAAAAAATTTCAAAGTTAATAATTGACATGCAGTGTGTTTAAGAGGAGAAACTTTTTAATATTACTTTTTCGTATCATAGAGAAAAGTTAGGGATCCCAGAGGATGAATCAGTATCAATCAAAAGTGTTGTAGCAAAACGAAAAGAAGAATCAAGAAAATTAGAAGAGCTTGTTCAGCAAAATAAAAGCCTTGTAGAGGAAAATTTAGAATTAAAGTCAGATGTAAGAGATAATTTATGTAAGACATAAATTGATTCATAAGAAATGAGTAATAAATCTTCCTAGTTTAGACGTACAATGGTTTATGGTACAAATTTTTACAATATTTTGAGATTATTTATGAATTTTTAATTCTTGTAGATAAGGATGTTAAAATATAAATTAAGCAAGTCCGAGAAAGTATTAGATATTTCAGATAATTTAGGTGATTCTAGTGATCAGTTTTTACATTCAACTAAGTTAGCGGAATTAGACAATATGCATGTACGCTCCAAAAGTGATATTTTTGAAGTTAATCAGAATATTCAGATACTTATAGAAGAAAATGAAGCGCTTAGAACAGGCATGCACGAGATTATGGACAGTATATACAATCAAGATGGTGAATTTATGCTAACTTTAATGGTACTTTAAATGTTGCACATATTTCCATTTTATGACACCTTAGATCTCTTTTCTATTTAGTACCCTTCTATTTATCCTAATATGGCGTGTAAATATTACCAATTAAATCAAACTGCTTAATTTCTCGTCTTTTTTTTTTTATGTAGATGTGGAATATTGCTACTCTCTTTGGATTTTAATGACCACTACAAAAATAGATAGACGATAATTTCGTGTATTTCTTGTCTCAGGTAAGAGCAGGGTGGAGATACAGTCCAGTACATTGGAACGATTATTGGAAGCTTTAGATGTTAGACATTTAGCTGGTTGGTATCATCCAGCTATGAGATTACAGGGACATCTCAATGTGATACAAGGTAGCAATGCTGAATTGAGGTCGCAGCTTAAGCTACTGAGGTATTTCAACTTTTTTTTTATTTAAATATTATTGTACTGTGTATCGTTTTTGTTCTACAACTGTTAACCATATGATTGCAGAAAGGAATTGCAAAAGAAAGACAATATATTGCAAGAGTTAGCAGTAAATAGGAATATAGATGTTGAAAAATTGTACGAAAAGTATAACGAAGAAGATGAAGCGATGACAATATATCTTACGGAAATGAAAGCTCTGCAAACGGCGTATAAGAATGAAGCGGAAGATTGGGAAAAGCAAAAAGATTTGTTGGTTCAGGAGACCAATGAATTGAAGGACGAATTAAACGGCAAAAAGAAGCAGTTAGATATTTATAAAGAAAGTCTGCAGATTATTGAGAGTGGAGATGACGAAATTCAGAAAGCATTCACGATAAAAACGAGAGAGTACGCGGACGCCGCTAATGAAGCAATTATTGTGAGTAGGAAAAACGTTAATCTTCAACAGTTACTTAATAAGGAAACTAGCAGACTGTACGAGTGTCAAAAGCAGATGATAAAAAAAGAGGGCGAACTCAATAGAGCTCTCGCGGACGTAAATAAGTATAATAAAACGTTGTTATCAGAAATTTCACTTCTACAGAGTAATTTGTGTAATTCTGTGAGTATAGCAGTGCACAACGAACTAAAGGAGAAACACGAAGAATTAAATATACGTTATCATGCTTTGCTAGAAACCGCGATGTCACCTTTCGATCACAATGAAGTTTCGTTTTTGAAGGCCGAGATAGAAACGATAAGGCAAGAAAAATATCAACTCGTGAAGGATATGCAGAAAGTCGACAGTTGTGAGAACGATAATTTACAGCAGAGCTTGAAGGAAATAGAAGCTAGAGAATTAATCGAGAGACAACGAGCGGATCAAATGGCCAGATTGTACGAAATGGCACAAACTCAGTTGACAAAGTACGAAGATAATGTTAAGCGACTTACCGTTTCCAATTCTGAACTGCAGGAGAACTTGATCGAGATGCACAGGAAATTATCTAACGAAGTAGGAACGTCACAGGAAACCGTCCAAGTAGACGATAATCGTGTACAAAAGCTGCAGAATGCGAACACTCAACTTGTCACGGAGAATGAAGGTTTGAAAAAGATGCTGCAGATTTCTCAAGAAGAGACTCAACTACAGTATTCGCTAAATTCGTTGCAAACGCTAGAATTGGACAATCTCAGACATCAGATATTAGACTTGCAAGCTGTAAGTGAAGATAAGGCCACCATTTCGAGACTCGACTTCGAGCTCACAAGTACGAAGATATCGGAAATGGAATTAATTGCGCAAAAAACTCGACTGCAGAACGAGCTGTCTTCCACGCGACAGGAGCTCGACGACTCGAGGAGGAAGTACGAGGAAATGCGCGGTTACATGCAAGATTACCGGAAACGATGTGACAATCGTTGCAAGTAAAATCAAAAGTTTTAATTACTTGTATTGACGTTTATACGAGAAGTGTACCTTAATGTCCAGTAAAATGTCTCTTTGTATATGTATGTGTGTTTCAGGTATTATACAGATATCATATATTTTTTACAATGCCAGTACGCGGGATCAACTTCTATAAGTAGTCTGGAAAAAGTGATCGCTCTCACTGCAAAATTGAAGATAGATCGACAAAACGTCGATTTAGAGATGCAAAAAATTAAAAAGTGCCACGAAAATGTGAAATATGAACAGCAACTCTTGTCCACACGCCTCGAGATTGTCGAGCGCCTGAAAGATATATTGGAGCAACAAATTGGCGCCGGTAATGTCGAGAATATAATGGAACATTTCGCGGAAACCTCACAGCAGATCCTGAGTGTACGTTTGCCTCGTATAATTAAGTATAAAAGCTTGCAGTAATAACAATATTGGCAAAATTGCAATAAATCAGTTAGTGACCGTAACGGGGATTGCGACTACGGAATTTGAGTTTCAAAATTAAATCCTAATGCATTATATTTATAGGCCAGATTTGTATAACACAAAAGTCTCTCTGTCTGCCTGTTAACTAGGACTTCAAGTACAAGCGACGGATAGCCCACTTGGAGCATGAACTTCAAATAGCCAGCAGCAAATTCAACGAATACGAGTTGGTAATTGCCAGTATGGAGCAGGACATGATGAATCTTCAAAGGGCTTGGCATCCGCAACAAGATCATCAGGTTCCAATTCATGTACCACACTTGGAGGCGAAGTCTGTGCAAGCAACAATGGAGCTTCAGGTTGTCGGCGTTCAAACAGATACTTACGTGTGTTGCCTGGATCAAAAGGTAGAAGATGCAGTTGAGAAGGATGAAGTTTCCGAGAGCAGCGCCCAAGGGCCGCCTGAACCGAGTGAAACCACAGTGAAGACATTCCGAGATGCGGAGAGTAATACAGAAGACAACGATAGCTCCACATGTCTTAACGAGCAATTGGATCAAGCGCTGAAACTTGTATCACAACGTTCCGCGATGTTGGTCAAGTGCGAATCGCAATTAGCAGAATGCCAGACAAAAGTGGACACTTTAACCAAGGTAATCGAGGAGAAAGACTCGTACCTTATCCAAAAGCAGAATATGTTGGACGAGTTGACGTCTCAGTCGCACGCCATGGACATTGAATGCACCGACAAGTTGGCGTTGAAATCAACGATAAATAGTTTGCAGAAATTGGTTAGTCAAAAGGAGGAGACCATTTTGAGATACCAGCATTTATTGAAAGAGGACAGGGACGAGCACAGTCGGGCGGCGAGTCGTTTTCAAGATGAGATTAAAAGCTTGCACGACCGTATCTTGACCATGCAGTGTGAGATAAGAAAGAACGAAGAGTCGATTGTGAAGAACGTCCTCGGAAGAGCATCCTCGCTCTCGACGTCCAATGAGGGTGCATCGAAAACACCAAGGGGCAGCGCCGCGCAGGAAGAAGAGATTGTTAGGCTGCGTGAGAGGGTGTCTACTTGCGAAGCGGAATTGAATATCAGCAAAGAACTAAGTGATCGTTGGCATCGATTGGCAGAGGAAAGATTGAAGCATATGGATCGTATGAGAGAAAGGTTCGTCCAATGACACTTAGGACGTCACGTCATTCGATGAATTCAAATATTTAGCTTTTGTTGACTTTTACTTAATTTTAGAGATTAGTCTTAACTGTATTTTTAATACCGACAAATGAAAAATACTTCTTGTACTTTTACAGGCTAGAACAACAACATAAAACTGAACTCGAGAGCTATTGCGGTGAATTGAACAAGTGGCAAGCCGAAGCCGACACGCTAAGGCAGCAGTTATCTGAGAATCGTGTGCTGCTCACGAAAGGAAGTATCTCTCTGATGAAGGAACTGCAAGAGAAGGATGACAAAATACATGAACTGAGTCTCACCTGTCAACAATTGCAGGTGCGATTGTTATACTACATTTCACTAATTTACAGACTAGTGTGTTGTACTATTATTAAATCTCTATTATTCTTTCATATTGTAGAATGAAATTGAGTTAATGGAGTCTATAGGTCGATCTCAGCAGATGATAGCTCGGGCTGACACGAAAACGAACGAGACTGCGTACAATAGCCATCGTGATCAACAGCAGCGCGATCAAAATCAAGTGGATCTTTTGCGTCGGCAGCTTCAGTCGCTAATCGAGAAGGAGAAGATGTACAAGTACGAAATAGCCGACTTGAAACAGCAACTCAGTCGCAGGTATATTTTATTCTCTTCTAGTCGACATTTTGATTGATTTTGTGAAAATGTTGCCTATTGTATCCATACGAAGTATGTATTATACAAAATGTTCCACTTTATTTTTATATATTCGATTATCTTGAAAAAATTAGGTTTTTCGAAGATGTTTCAAACGAAAATTGTAAGATTTTGAGAAAGCATAAAATACTCCCAGAAATAAAATGAGACTCTGGAGAGCGGCGAAATATCTCGAAAATCAAGCATTTTAGAAAAAAATGTTTCAGACAAAAGTTGTATGGTTTCAAGGGGGACGTAAAACAATTATATCATTTTGTTTACAGATGGCGCCACTTTCGAGATATTCACTGATCATCAATTTTCTTAAATGGAAATCCCAATTTTTTATTACATTATCCTTTCCTATCAATTAGTTTGAACAACTTTTATCTGAAACTTTTTTTTTATTTTCCTAATATTTTTTGAGGTATTTAAAGGAAATTTAGTAACGTTTTGAATATTTAACTTACGATATTTCGCTAACTATTTGTCGGAAGAAAAAATAGTACTAGATATTTTTACTCTATTTAGTCTCAAGAATATATTGTTACAATAGTGCCCTAACTTTTGTTAACTTATCGACCTTTGGAAATTTCAGAACCATCAAACTAACAAAAGTCAGGGCGTTATTGTAACAATATATTCTTGAGACAAAATAGAATAAAACAGTCTAATACCACATTTTCTTCTGACAAATAGCGATATATCATGAATTAAATATTGAAAAAGATTATCAAGTTTTCCTTAAATATCTCTAAAATATAGGAAATGAAAAATAATAGATATAATAAATAAATAGGCAAATAAAAAATGTTTCAGACGAAAGTTGTTAAAATTAATTAATAGAGAAAGATGATATAAAAAAAATTGGGGTTTAAGAAAAGTAACGATCAGTACATATTTCGAAAGTGGCGCCATTTGTAAATAAAATGATATAGTTGTCTTATAACCCTCTTGAAACCATACAACTTTTATCTGAAACATTTTTTTCTAAAATACTTAGTTTTCGAGATATTTCGCTATCCCGCTACTTTTTAAACACCCTGTTATATATATATATATATATGTAATATACTGTGTACATATATATACACAGTAATATATATATATATTAGAGATGTGCGAACTATTCGAATTCGAATCGAATCGAATCGAATCTAATGTAATTCGATTCGATTCGAATCCGAATCCCTATGATTTGAATCCGAATAATTCGAAAATCTCGAATCGCGAAGATTCGAATACGAATCAAATATATTAGCGTTTGTACGTATTAGTTATAAAACGGGCCATCTGGGCCTGTATATTTGAACCCTTAACTTATTTTTAATTAACTATTAATTAATAATGTTTAATTACCGTAATTAACCTAACCTATAATTAATAACTTAATTATAAATTACTATAAATATTTAAATATATATTTTATTTTAAGATAATATTACAATATTAACAATCCCTTTCATATTAAAATCTTCCTTCATTATTTGCACATTTAATATCCATGTGAAATTTTTTAATGGTTCGATTCGATTTGATTCGAATTCGAATGAAATTTCATGGATTCGATTCGATTCGAATTTAAAAAATGAGATTCGATTCGATTCGATTTGACATAAAAATTCTTAATTCGCACATCTCTAATATATATATATATAATATACGTACAAAAAATACTTGATTTGATTCAGATACATGGCAACAAAAACTCAGGAGAAAAAAATATCGCAGCGTGAAGCTCAACTCGAGCGCAAAGTAGCGTCGCTGGAAGAAGAGTTATATAAAACGAAAACTCAATTAGATCGCGAATATCTGGCACAAGAAGCTAAAAAGACTAAGGTATGTGCCGGAATATTACTATACAGGGTGCACGATTTATCTGAAGACATTGAAATATCTCGAGAACTATGCATTGGATAAAAAAAAGTGGTTAATGAAAGTTGTTAGTCTCGAAGGGGGACATCCAATGATACCAAACTCGACCTCCCATCCCACCTCCTGGGGGTGGGGGTTGGAGGCAACTTTGAAATCTTAAATGGAAACCCCCATTTTTTATTGTAGATACGGATTCTACATCACAAAATACGTAAATTTTGTCCGAAACTTTTTTTTTGATTCGTGATAGATGGCGCTGTAATCGCAAAAAATTATATTTTCCGCAATTCTCCAGAAATAATCATTGGATTGAGAAATAAAAAATACCTGTTCAATATTTTTAAAGAACATAATAAAAGTTATTCCCCCCCATCCTCTCGGGGTAGGGTGGGTGGTAACGTTCAAATCTCAAGGCAAGGGGACTCGCATTAAAAAAGCACCCGAAGGGAACATAAAACTACTACGTCCTCGTCGTTGTTCCTGTGTAACGCTAAAAGTAGTTTCTCGGAAAAATTCAACGCTATCTATCACAAATGAAAAAAATTGTTTCAATAAAAATTTCACGTACAATCTAATTCTGCAATGAAAAATGTGGGTTCCCATTTGAGATTTGAACGTTATCACCCACCCTATCCCGAGAGGATGGAGGGGGATTAACTTTTATTATGTTCTTTAAAAATATTGAACAGATATTTGTTATTTCTCAATCCAATGATTATTTCTGGAGAATTGCGGAAAATATAATTTTTTGCGATTACAGCGCCATCTATCACGAATCAAAAAAAAAGTTTCGGACAAAATTTACGTATTTTGTGGCGTAGAATCCGTATCTGCAATAAAAAATGGGAGTTTCCATTTAAGATTTCAAAGTTGCCCCCAACCCCCACCCCCAGGGGGTGGGGTGGGAGGTCGAGTTTGGTATCATTGGATGTCCCCCTTCGAGACTAACAACTTTCATTAACCACTTTTTTTTATCCAATGCATAGTTCTCGAGATATTTCAATGTCTTCAGATAAATCGTGCACCCTGTATACAGGGTAATCCGAAATTCCCGCTTTCGGAGTACAGAACACGATATTTTATGCTAAAATAAAATGACAAAATAAAATAAAATAACAACTTTTTCTTTTAGCAAAATTGCGTCTGACAAATAGTTTTTGCAGAAGAGCGTGTTAAAGTTAACGAATAAGCACTCTTGTCTATGTAGCGCTCAGAACCGGCGCGTGCGCCTCACTCGTGTGTAGTCAGTCACTAGTATTCATAAGTAATGTCTTTTATGACGCTCATAAGGCTTTGTTGTGATTAGTTTACGACATCTTAAGACTATATTTAAGACGATCTTAAATAATAAAAATCAATTATGAACAATACTGGGATTTAACCTTCTTCCGTATTGTATTGCTTAAATAATGAAAAGTTAATAAAATAAGTATTGCGTTTATTTCTTATCTAATAAATGAATAAAAAAATGTCTGATTGTACCATATTATCTAAAAATAAAAGCAAATGTAAATAGTAATATGCTTTATGAGTTGTTAAATCCCCGTATTGTTTATAGTTGTGTATAGTAGATTCTTATTATTTAAAATTGTCTTAAGTACAGTCTTAAGATGTCGTAAACTAATCACAACAGAGCGGTATGAGTGTCTTAAAAGACATTACTTATGAATACTAGTCACTGACTAAATACACGCGAGTAAGGCGCGCGCGTCGACTCTGAGCGTGCTACATAGATAAGAGCGCTTATTCGTTAACTTTAACACGCTCTTCTGCAAAAACTACTTGTCGGACGCAATTTTGCTAAAGGAAAAAGTTGTTTGTTTTAGCATCATAAAGTATCATGTTCTGTACTCCGAATGCGGGAATTTCGGATCATCTTATATATTATTGTCCCTAATGCATGTCTCTTTTGATAGACTGCAGAGGAACTTGCATTGTGGGAGAAACAGAAAAAGTGGCAACAAACAGCGGAAAAATTAAAAGTGAAGCTCAAAGAGAAAACCGACGAATATGCGAAATTGTTGGCGAATCACGAGAAACTTCGAGCTGTCGTTTCGTGTATGGAACGAGAGAAATGGTACTTAAGAAGCAGGCTTAAATATGAGAGCGATAACGTACCTGGCGATTCATCAACAAAATTTATGTTGAATGTACAACGCAAAACAGCGGAAGAACTGGAGAAAGAATGTTTAACACTGAGAGAACGTGTTAAAGAATTGTCTGATCGTTTAGGGAAAGAAGGTAATGAACAGTTAATGTTGAAAATAGCGGAATTGAAACGCCACAATGCCGCCTTAGAAGCAACTTCTCAGGTTCGTATGCTTCTTAACATTTGTCGATTTTTATAATTTTGCGGTATTTATTTATTTGATGCTATTTTATAGGGCAATGTGTTTGTGATTAGTCAGCTAGAGAAATTAGAAATGACCAAAGACATCTTGGAAAAGATGAATCTCAAGTTGGAGAGCGAAAATTTCGAGTTGCGGCTCGAATTAGAGAGGGCGAATTCAAATACTCCAAGATTGCGAGAGAAAGTGGATCATTTAGAAAAGTACCTTTACTATAACTATTTATTTGTATTTTCCTCACAGAACAAATAGGAATGAACAATTAATATTACTGCATATTATTATAGATATATAAAGTTATTAAAGGCAGAAAAATCGTCTGATTCGAGCCCCAGATCGTCAAACAAAGACTTGCCAGAATCAGGCAGTAAAAAATCTATCTTTGAAATGGAGAAAACGATATTTACATTGAAGCGAATCATTGAGAAACTTCAAGCAGAGAATAAAAGACTGAAATTTAGTACTAAGAAAAATCATTTTCTAGTCAATCAAGTAAAGCAGCCTCTTTTTTTATGTTACACTATATATTGTTTATACAGGGTGTCCCAAAAGTAACGGACCACCTTAAGAACTCTTCAGTATTGAAGTTTCAAGAAAAATGATCTGAATAAAAATTGTAGGGGGATTTAAGTAATCTACCTTATGATGACCTTGACCTCTATTTTCAAGGTCATTTGAAGGTCAACTTGCGTTTTTTAAATGGGAACCCTTATTTTTTATTACATTATCTTTTTCTAGCAATTAATTTGAACAACTTTTGTCTAAAATATTTTTCTATTTGTGTAATATTTTTTTAGATATTTGAGGAAAACTTAATAACTTTTTCAATATTAACTTACGATATCTCGCTAACTATTTATCGGAAGAAAAAGTGATACTAGACTTTCTTGCTTTATTTAGTCTCAAGAATATATTGTTACAATAGCGCCCTGATTTTTGTAAATTTGATTTGATTTTCAAATTTTCAAAAGTCAGTAAATTAACAAAAGTCAGGGCGCTATTGTAACAATATATTCTTGAGACTAAATAAAGCAAGAAAATGTAGTACCACTTTTACTTCCAACAAATAGTTAGCGAGATATCGTAAGTTAAATATGGAAAAAGTTATCAAGTTTTCCTCAAATATCTCAAAAAAGTTAGACAAATAAAAAAATGTTTTAGACAAAAGTTGTTCAAATTAACTGGTAAAAAAACAGTATTGTTGCGCTCACTCTCACACTCGCGCTTTCACACAGGTAAATAAGAACACTCGCGTAAGAATATCAAGCTTTACTATATACAGCGCAACTTTCTCAAACTTCAAACAAGAATAATTCTCTAATTAATAATTCTGAATTCTCTCGTCTGTCTACGATGACAGCTTGCCAGAGACTCTCTGTCAGCTGTTCTTGTTGTTTACTTCTTATCGATTTTCCGTCGTCAGAACAATCCTCGCTCAGATGTCAAAATCAGCATCGGATGCCTAAGGCTCACGGACAACGGACGCTGCCACAAACTTTGTGGCTCGGATACAACAGTATATTAAAAAATAAGGTTTCCCATTTAAAAAATGCAAGTTGACCTTCAAATGACCTTAAAAATAGAGGTCAAGGTCAAAGTCAAAGTCACCATAAGATAGCTCACTTAAATCCCTACAACTTTTATTCACATCATTTTCCTTGAAACTTCAATACTGAAAAGTTATGAGAGTGGTCCGTTACTTTTGGGACGCTCTGTATATCATTAAGATTATATATTTTGGATATAGGGTAAGATAAGCACCATTGAAGGAGACATTTCACTTCAGAGACAATATGAGGAATCTCAAAAACGTGTGATAAGTTTAGAATCGGATTTGCGACTAGCCGAACAGAGAGTAGCCATGTTAGAAAAGGCTCAAAGAGAAGACGATAACGGGGACTTGAAGATTTTGAAGCAACAGCTGATTCACAAGTCTGAACTTCTGGAAAAAGTAAAACAGTTATTGACGCGTGCGGCCATCAACGAGAAGACGTTGCGGCAACGCGTAAGAATTCCAACTATCGATTTTACTGCAATTACAATGATTAAAAAATTAATCAACACTAGGCTTTGTCTCATTGTTACTAGGTGCAACAATTGGAGTTAAAGCAAACTCTGTCGACGATCCCGGAATGTTATGTGACACCGCCTACACCAGAATAATGGATGTTCTGGGGAAAAAAGCACAATTCAAAATGAGTCGATGGGCTTGCAGTGAAAGTCATATATATTTTTATCGAGACAAATGTACATATATATTTTGTTCAGCCGAGCACATTTATATCAAGTGGGATCTTGTCTTTTCTTTGTCTTTATCCAATGCTTGTGTGTTGTGTTTTACAATAATTTTATATCGCGTAGATATAATCGTATCATTCTTTTTTTTGTACACACAGGTGCACAATGTTTATTTGTAAACGGGAGAAGTTGCTATTTATCCTAAGACGCTTCCTATGTATGTATATTTGGCATACATATGGTATTTGAGAGAACGAAAAGTGAAATTTGGTTGTGTAATAAAACAGGTGTATACACAATTTCAATTATACATCTGCCGCAATTTCAAATTACAAAGTTGCATGCCAAAATACGTCATCATCAGCGCAAAAATCCCATTTAGCCATTTAGAAAGCGTCTGCTTTTTCTAAACGCACAATAAAGTATTTTTAGTTAAATTATATATGTCGCAGTGATGTATACATCTCGAAGAACAAAAAATGTTCTTTCAAAACATTCTAACGTTGTAAACATTTTACATTGAATTACATTTTAGACAGTTGTAAATCGAATGACTTTTTTCCCTTCTGAAGCTGAACAATTTTTAGACATATTGTATATCATATCTATTTGCTCAGTGTCGCATAAAGCCCGCTTCGAACTTGTGTCGATTGTACACTTTCTTTTTAATATATATAACATAATTTATTTCAATATTTTAGATATCGGAAGTGTATCGAATATTTTAGACAATCACAAGACACAAGTGTAACTTGAGTCACATTTCTCATGAATATGGAATAATAAACTTGACTAGCAAATCTCAAGTGCCATACGTAAGTGCCTTCGACGTATCGATACATCGAAACTGGCGATCAGCGCAAACGTCAGTTACGATGATCAGTTTTGTATCAAATTGTACCGAGAGAGGGTTGTAGTTGAACGCTCGTCTTGCGTTTCACACGATTTCCCTCGTTGTTGGAAATACCGAGTACGAAATACACGCGTTTGTTGCAAAAAAGTACGAGTAAAACAATCACAGAAAGCATCTCATGAGTCGGATTATCGGCGGGCCATCTTGGCGGTTAGAAATTTTGCCCGCTTTTCGCGCCTCCCTTTTTCGAGCCTCCGAAGAGGAATCGCGGAATATCGTGACCGAAAGTGAGTCTCATAAGTATCTTTTGCAGTCAGACATCGTTAAAATCGCCAGGATATCGAGAGGTTCGCGGAACGAGCAGCCGAAAGTTCGGTTACAAGTGGTCAGTTGAAAGATGGCCGCGTGGAGAGGCAATGCGAGTTCGAATGCTCGTCCTGCATTCGCCGCATTTTTGGTTGAGAGCGAATGTCGAGCGCGAATTATGGTGTCTGTGACTGCCGAGTACGAGATACACGCATTTGTTGCAACAAAGTATCATGAAACAATCACAGAAAGCATCTCGTGAGTCGGAATGTCGGCGGGCCATTTTGGCGGTTGAATATGTTGCCCGCAGCCCTTCGCGCCTCCCCTTTTCGAGCCTCCGAAGGAGGATTCGCGGAATATCGTCGCGAGTGCCGGAAGTGAGTCTCATAAGTATCTTTCGCAGCCAGATGTGAGTCTCGTGCGTTCGTCGTAGCGGATGTCGTTGAACGAGCACGAAAAGCGAGGGACACATTTCGAAACGGGAAAAACGCGTGTCGAAAATGCCGAGCGATCACGAAGTGTCATTCGCTGAGAGGTAGTTTCGTGTGAGCGTCATCGTCAGGCATGTCAACAAAGTGCAGCGTTTTGCAAAGTCTTCGTCATGTTGTGAATTCGTGTCAGCGCGAGGAATTCAAATCGCAGCTTCGGCCGTCGTAGGAAAAATCGATGAGTACTGACGAATTAGTACAGCAGCGGCCACGATAGATGGCGCCTCTACGTCTTTTTTGCGAACGCTCTGTTCGTGAATTTCAATGAAAGATGGAATAACTTATTCAACATAGTCGAACATAGAAGCCGCCTATGAAACAAGAAGCGTGTTGCATTCTCTGTAAACTCGAGGTAAACATCGAAATTTTCTCCTGTGCGTATTAATAATTGACGGTCATATTCATGATAAAGTCTAACCTTCGTTCGAGTGGGATTGCTATCGAGCACTCGTAAGTTACTAATTAAAAAAATGGCGGTGTGTCTCCCGAAGGATAACGGTAATGTCAGTAGCTTTCGACTAAGCCTAAGCCAGCTCTGATAATTGCGAAACTTTATCTGGGTTCGATAAATTTTTTGCAGCACTTTGTTGGCACCAAATATATTTTTTTCAAATTCCGTCGCGAATTTTGAATCATCTGAAGCGGGCTTGAGGAAAGAACAACAGTTTATCTGTTAGATCATGCCAATAAAAAAATTTAGTTCCTCTGACGAGAGTGCGATGAAAAAAGTATCCGAAAAATAACGGATATTTATTCGGTGAGTATTAATAACGCATTTTTTTCATCTTCCCACAAGACCGTAGTTCTTTATCAGAGCGATCGCGGGATTTAGTTGGATGAAAGAACTTGAATTTAAGCGAACGTGTTGTTACCCATACAGTACAAAAGTTGCAGCGACATTGCTGCACCGTTGCTGCAGCAATATTGCAATATTGCAGCAACGTTGCAGTAATGTTGCTGCAACTTTTACGCTATATGGATTAATAATCACTGGATAAATATTCTTTATCTTTTAAACACCCATGGCGTTTTCAGTATGTGTCTGATTGTTTCTTCGAGTGACTAGATTCGACTCTTCGAATACTGCATCGTATTCTTGCCTCATCGTTAGCGCGAATTGTAATATCACACTATAATTATACATTTATATAATGCTAATGCAATACTAAGAACTTAAAATTAGTCGCTCGATACCTTCGTACTATTCTCACGTTCGCCGTGAGTAATTCCGATGGCTCGCGCGACATGGAAGAGTTGAAGGACGTCATCATCAAACGGAATCATCGAGACATTTTTTCGCGTCTGTCAAACATTACACTCGCGAGTCATAGCTGCACTTCCGCAGAACTTCTGCTTCGCACAATGCTTATGTGAGACGCGCGAGCACACACATACACACACACACACGTACACGCACATACATTATTAACACAGATGTTGCGTTAAGCGTCGCAGCGGAAACAATTCGCGCGAAGACTCGCGCGTTTCTCCCGCGGAGAATGCAATCGCGCGAAGGGAGCCTAAGAGAGCCTGTGTGATCCCGATCCTGATGACTATTAATAATCGTTCCCGGGCTCCTGGAGGAACAGCCGAATCGAGTCCTCGTCCTCGCAATCCGGGATGAGCTTGCCCTTATATTTCACGCAAAAATCTGCGCACTTCTGGACCTTAAAGTACGTGCCGTACATGTCCCTGCACATCGCGCAATTTCTTATGCACACACCTAGGGTATAAGGATCCAATTTGTACAAATGGGTAAAATGGGTAAAGCGGCAAGTACGATGAGCAGAGATCATAGTCTCGGAGACCAGTGATCATAGTGTGATACACATTGTACTCACCGACGTTCCTCTCGGCGTGAGTCGTTGCTGCTGCGAAGCAGAGAAGCGCGAAGGCGGCAGCGAGCAGCATGATGATGAGTCGGTTGGACGAGCTCATGACTGAAACAAACGCAGGCGTTCAACTCTCGTCGATGGCCCTGCACGGGCGAAATTCCTCGATGACGCTCGGTCCCGATCTTTGAAACTTTCGACTCCCGTCTCGCGTGTCTCATCGAGCCATCTTCTCGCATGTCGCGTACTTTACGCTTGGAATATATAAAAATTCATACGCGCACGTGTGTGCTTGATATCTGGTCTGTTCTCCACCTCCAGCCAGCACCAATTTGCAGAGGTTCTCTTCGAGTCTCAAGCGGATGTCTATTTCTTTTTAAGTTCAGAGTCGCTCTATCGCGAGAGTCCAAAATTTCAACGTCGCGCGGACATTTGAATGGAAAGTGACGACCTATAAATAACCCTGGCGATGTCGCGATGACAGTGCGCTACGTGAAGTCACAAAACTACGTTGTGAAACCCACACGCGGGAGGTGTTCTCATGTAATACCGTTTGAATGTTAATTGACGTTGTGTCGCTAAATCGCGGGTGATTGGAAACACCGTCGGCACTTTGATGCAGCTGAGGAAGCGAGTACGAACGAGCACGAGGGGGTGATATCCCTCTTTGAAACGCCAACCCCTACAAAGAAGTATCAGACTCAACGTTAAGAACATTAATTCTCTCCTTACTACCTCCGAGTTTGCAGTCTGCGTTCTGCAGAAGAAGAGGCCGAAGCGGAGCTCATGAAAATCGAACACCCCGGAAGAGTCGGACCGTTTCTCTTCATTCGCTACCTGGACCTGGACAAAGCTCACTGGCGCGACGACCGCGAGACGAAAGATACTCGCAACAAGAGTGAGGTTCAGATATTCTCTCAACCACTCAACCGTCGATGTCGCGTTCTTGCGGTTTGCAATTAGTTCGCGATCGCTCGTTCGTTCGCTCGCTCGCTCGCTCGAGAGGAAGGACAGAGGGGGAGGCGGCCGAAGAACCCGATGAACTCTCAGGGATAACGCGGATGTTAAAGGCGTCTCCCCGTTTCTCCCCTCGGTTTCAATGGAGAAGAAACAAGAGAACGACGACGAGAACCGGAAAAGAAAAGGAAAGGTAAATATATGCATATAAAAGGTTAATACCTCACCGATTTTTCTTTTTATTTTGAAGTATGTTATAGAGGATGAAACACTCTAAGTTTTTATGATACACTATATGGAGGTCGCTTGTAGTTTCCGAGAGATATTTGACTTTAAGGTATTAGAATTAGGCGTCCTCGAAAGTTGTTTATTTTTATAATCGTATGTATAATATATGTTGTTATTCTGAATTCGATTAGGTTAGGTTAGGTTAGATTATTGCATGCGTATATACAGAGTGTCCGGGATTTTTTGGAAACGAAAAATTGTGAAAATCAATCAGATCAAACTGAAAAGAAAAGTCAAGTCATTTTGTAAAAATCGCAATAGTTAATAAGTTATTAATAATTGAAAATTGCCACATCTAAAAAAGAGCTTTTTTAATTTATAATTTTGAAAATGACCGCATCTAGAGGCTCTTTTAATTGATAACTCGAAAATTTGCATACTTATTTGCAAAATTGTAAAGGACTTTTTTATTTAGAATGATCTAACCTACAATTATATGATGGCTATTGTGCCTAGTGACAGGTTCAAGATTCAGGATTCGAAGTTCAGTATACTCATCTATCGCTAGGTACAATAGCCATCATATAATTGTAGATTAGGTCATTCTGAACAAAAAAGTCTTTTGTCATTTTGCAAATAAATACGCAAATTTTTAAGTTATCAATTAAAAAAGCTTCTAGATGTGGTTATTGTCAATCATTAATAACTTAATAACTATTACGACTTTTGCAAAATGGTAAAACGACTTTTCTTCTCAGTTTGATCTGATTAATTTTTACAATTTTTCATTTCCAAAAGATCCCAGATACTCTGTATATAGTACATGTATAGTGATTGCGTATAGTTATTCCATACTATGTAACTCATATTGAGCACATTATCGGTGTAACTTATACAGTTCCGAACCTTAAATATTTATTAAATAAATAAACAGTAACCTAATCTAACCTATTTCAGAGTAACAACGTACGTTGTGTACGACTATAAAGATGAACAACTTTCGAGAATCCATGATTCCAACGCTTTGAAGTCAAATATGCCGGAAACCATAAGCAACCCTCATATCGTCGTGTCATAAAAAGTTTCGCAGAATTTCATCCTCTATAACGTATTTAAAGAAGAAAATCGGCGAGGTATTTACCTTTTACGAGTATTTACCGAGGAAAATAAAAGGGGCCCAAGACAAAGGATCAAGAGAGAACCCGTTAAGCGCGCGCTCGCATACCGTACGCGACGCTATACGTCTTACTACGCCGGTGAGGTCGCGCGCCATCGGCATACGAAAGCCCGGCTGCGGTACGTCGGCTCGTGTCGTCGCGCAATTATCTCTTTTCATCGCCGCAAAATATGCCGTCGCGATGTCATCGTCGTCGTCGTCATCGTCGGTGTCGTCGTCGCGCGTACGAAGTCTCGTCAAGTTTTTCTCGTGCCTCGGCCGACAAGCGAGAGTAGCACGCCTCCGTCGTCGTCATCGTCGTCGTCGTCGTCGTCGTCGTCGTCGTCGACGCGTGGGCCGAAGGTCTTCCGTCAGATTTTTCCGAGAGAAACGCGCGCGCGCGCGTCGTCACCGTCGTCGTCATCGTCGTCGTCGTCGTCGTCGCTGTTGTCGCCGTCATCGTCCACGTCGCTGGTCACTTTTTTATACATATACGCTCATTTATAACCGGAATCTCTCCCCGACGCGCTTCCGCGTTCGCCTTAACGGCCACATTGTGAGCATATAAACATAATAAATATGGATGGAAGGTGTCTTGCCGCTTTCCGTGCTGTCGTCCGCCTCTCTCGCTCTCCTTCCTCTTTCGAGTTCCCCTTCCTCGACGTCCAGGAAGCACTTGAGGATTCAAGACCAAGGATCGCGCGGACGGCGTTTGATATCGCGCGAACAATAACACCGATTGATCGGCGCGCGACTCGATCGATCGCGCCGAGACGTCGCGGATCGGCGGATCGACGAACGACGCGCTTAGGATGACGACGGTTTTCGGCGGGAAAATCCGCGATTTTTATCAACCGTGACGCGGCGCGAAAAGGAAAGAGGGGGGGGTACCGGCGTGAGACTCGGCGGCCGAGGAATCGGAGGTACGGTGTCTCGGAGGTGCGTTTACCTGATCGGAGCGTGGCAGGTTGAAGGCGAAGCAGCTGGAATTGTTAAAAGTCGACGAGTGACAGCGAGCGGATCTCGCCGGGCTTATATATCCGCAAACGCCGGATTCAACCCTCGCGCTAGGGGAAACCCCGCCGCATATCTTCCTGCGACAAATTCAATTTCTTCCATTTCCTGCACTCTCTCAGAGCGGCGAGGCGCCCTGTGCATCGTTAGGGAGGAATGTTGTTCAACGTGATCCTCTCGAGTGCGTAATCTCTTCAAGGATGAACTGATTAGTCCGGAAAACTGATTGAATTTGAGAATAACGTAAATGTGTGACATCTTTCGTTGCTCGTTTTTTTCTTCGTGCACTTTTGTGGTAAACATTTGTTCATGGTGATGTTCGTTATGTCTTCGTCGACAATTCGTCGCCAGACACTCGAAAGACTTTCCAAATAGACAGTCGGTAAAGGAAAATGAGGACAGGTAAGGATCATCGCCGCATTTTGAAGCAAATATATATTGGAATATGTTGAAAATATTTACCTTGATTATTCGATGATTCGGGCTGTATATTGTTTGGAACCTTCTTTTTCAGAGGTACAAAAGTCGACGAAAAATAATGAATGTAAGACATAAGACATCGCATGATGAGACCGAGACATTTAGAGACATAAGTATATCTTTAAATTGTATTTAGTTATCTTTTAATTGTTGACTTTTGTACTACTGAAGGAGACTTAAACATTTGGAACACAACAAATATTTTCTCTTTGGACGGAAATGTTTCGAAACAATTAAAATCGAGAATTTCGAGATTCGAAAACTGAAGCAATTTCCCGAAAATTTCATAACACCGAAATTCATGTATCAAGACAATATTCCGAAATATAATTTTTCCAAAATACACAATTACTTCAATGAGAAGTTATCCCAAAAATAATTAAAAAAATATTAAGTCTCTTACCGCGGCTATCTTGATTTATGATGCCAGAAAAAGCGAAAAAATTTATGTCTAAAATTCCTGCAAAATACGAAATAAAAAATATATCCAAAACATGACAGTTGCAATTGACTAAGCGCGTTTATAAAATGCTTCGCACAATTTCCTTTTACTCTATACACAGACAATCAATAAATGACCGTAAAATTAACATGACAAAATGATGAGAAAGGATAGATTCAAAAGATGAGTTGCATGTCATGTGAATTTTACGGTAATTTATTGGTCTTTAGAGCGAAAGGAAAATATTTAACACGCGCGCTTGATTGATTGCGTCAGTTTTTGGATATATTCCCTTGTTTTAACGTATTTTGTAAGAGTTTATAGCATTTTTTCGCTTTTAATAATTAAGATGATAAATTATAATAAATAGATTATAAGTCAAGATAACCGTGACGAGAATATCCAGGAGCGTCATCTCTTTTCCAGGCAAAACAAAAATTCATGCAAAAAATGAGTCTTCCTCATCATTTTGACGTCATGGTGATTTTCTGTTCTGCCTGAATTGCTTGGCTAGATTCTTGCTGCGCACAAATGAGCAAGTACTGACTTGCATCTGGTTGTGCAACGAGACAATTTCAATATTTAAAAATAAATTTATATTCTGTTTTGCTTTTAATTGTAACTTAAATGATATTCAAGTAACAAGGAAGTAAAATTGTATTTCAGCAAATTTTCTCGGTATCCGAATTGTAACTTAAATGATATTCGAGTAAAATTGTATTTCAGCAAATTTTCTCGGTATTCGAATTGTGGTACCAAGATTTCTCGGGAAATTGTCTCACTCTTTAAATTTCAGTATATTTTTTTTTTTTTCGGCATGATGCATGTCCACTTCTTCATTGACAGTGTTTGAACTAGATGAGAAACATTGAACACATGTCTAAACATGCACATACGTATCAGCTTCTCGGAAAGAACCAGCATCTCGTCTCAACTCGCTTTCGATATTCCCGTTACTTGGCCCGCAGTGTGATTATTTTCGTATATTTCATTCGCAACATTGTGTGATCGCCGTAAAGCAACCATAATGCAATATTCAAGTGCAAAATCGAGAAGAGTGTATTGTTAATATTTAATCTTCGGCAATCTTGCTTTCAATTACATCGCAACGCCACCCAACATCGTAACGGTTCGATAAACAAAATATTATTATTACACAACAATTGATCCCTAATTACGCTACATAACGACATCATAACAGCATGATACGATTACGATTAATTGCGCGTTACATTTTGCTTCGAAACGAAATCACGTGCGACAACGGATACGCAAATTCACCAATCAATTTGACCCTAAACTTCCTCCTTCTTCTCCTTTATCTCCCCCTCCACCTCCCTCTGTCCCTGCCCGTCCTCCACCTCTTCTCTCTCCTCTTCTCCGGATTTATCTTTCCTACGAGGCGATTCGTATTCTAGGCTCCAGAAGTTGTTATATCTGATTGGCACCGCCTCGCCCTTCTCGATCATTTTGTCCAGGTTCTCGTCTAATCTGGAGAAACGATTCTTATTGTTCAAGATCTCCGACAACGTTCTATGAACGTTCTCCCTGCTCCTCGATTCCTCCCGCTTCCTGTCTTCCGCTTCCATCGAGTTCTCGCGCAGCTGGCGCAGCACATCCTGCGTGAAGTAGCGGGACAAGAACTCGTCCTCCGTCTTGTCCACCTCGGACTGCGCCTTTCGCTTGTCGTCCTTCTCGAAAATGCGCTTTAGAAAATCCCGGTCATCGTAAGGATCGTAATCCGTGAGGACCGTCTCGCTGCCCTTCGCTTTTCTCTCCGCGTCAGGATTACCGCGCTCGCCCTCGTCCTCGTGGTAAGCTGCTTCGCCGAAGTCGCCGTCGTCGAAGTCCGTGTTTTTCGTGAAATAGTCGTACCATTTCTCCTCCGGGTACGTGACGTGTTCCCCGCGATATTCGTCATCGCGATATTTCTCTTCGGGTTCCTTCGTGGAATCCTCGGCCTTCTTCTTCTTCGTGTCCTGCTGTTTCGTCTCTGCCTCATTGGCGGCACCACGCCCAGGCTCAGAGACAAAATCGCTCTTGAGGAATTGATCCAGGTCGAATGGCTTTCTGTACTCTTCTATGTCAAAGTGAATCGGCGCGAAGTCGTCGGAGGAGTCCTCCGGGGGACCACGAGCGTCATCATTCGCGTCATCATTCGCGTCATCATTCGCGTCATCCTGCGAACGATTACGAGCGGCGGCATCGCTCTTATCGGCAGCGCATTCCGCGGAATCCTGATTCTCTGCAGTGCAGCGCGAGGCTGCGTTCACGTGCGACGAGCCTCCGTCATTTCCGGCCTGGCTACCCGGAAGCGGCGGAACCTCGGTGCTCGGGGGGGACCTCGAGGAAGAATCACCGACGCGATAAGAGCTCTCGGGCTCGACGTAATCGCCGCCGTCATCGTAGTCTTTATATTCGACTGCGCTCCGGTTACTCTTGTCCAGAGTGTCCTGCCGCTGGTCCGAGTAATCCGGCACCTCGACGTATGGTATCTTCGCAGGATCATACAGCGGCTCATCGCGTTCCGCGTACTCCGCTCGGTCATCATTTCGCGAAGCCTTATCGATCGCGTGCGCGCTCGGCGAGAGTGACGAACCGCCGGGATTCTCGCGAGAATACGGCGGCCCGGGCTTGCGGAGATCCTGCGCCTCTTCGCCCGCGAGGGATTTCGCCGGCGAATTATCCTCCGCCGGCGGGTCGTCGTCCTGAGCCGGCTCGTTCAGCGACCGGTTCAGATCGGCAGCCTCGATCGCCTCGACCGGGACTTCCTTACTCGCGACCGCCCACGATCCTGAGATGTGCGGGTCAGGAAGGGACGTCTCTCGCGTGTCCTGCGTCGCGTCCGCTCGACCGAGCCGCGCTTCTCCGTTCGTCCTTCGCGCCCGCTTGTCTCCCTTTTCTCGCCCAAGACACAAGCGGTCCGGAGCCGCCGCGGGGCTGCTTCCTGCGTCTCGCTTGGAACGATCGGTCATGTTGATACCGCGTGTCGACGTCGCGTTGATGATGTCCCAGATGCGTTTGTACAGCTCCCGTTCCGGCTTCACCGTGGCCTCCACCTGGGGGCCCTCGCCGCTTCGCGAGGTGCTCGGGTCTTTGTCCACGCATATGGAGCGATCCGCCTTGCTGTTCTCTTCCGAGCTGTACTTGATAATGTCGGAGTGCGGACGCGTGCCGTTGATGTACTCCCAAATGCGTTTGTAGAACACGGTGCTCGGTATGGCGCCGTTGCTCGCCGCTACAGCATCGCGTGCCGCCGTTGGCGAAGGTCCTGCCTGGCCACTTCGAGGGCGCCCTGGAGCTTTCGTCGCTTCTCTCGACTTTTTAACGAGCGAGCGTCTCGAGCGTTTCTTCGCTGTACCAATTCCCTCTGTCCTGGGAACGCTCCTGCGCAATCTCCGTCGCATGGTCTCGATGATCGTTGTGATCTTCATCGCAGTCACTTCGACAGCTGGCTTTTCACCTTGCTCTCGACTGGGTCCGAGGGACAACCTTGGCAACGTGACTCCTCGGCCCGGAGATCCTTGCGACGGCCGCGGTGCCTCGCGTCCTGCGAATTCCTGCGCATGATGCGCCCGCCAGGGTTCGCTCGGTTTCTTTTCTACGTCGTTCACCGAGTTCCGAGTTCCCGCGGACGATAGTTTCGACTTACCCATGAACTTACTAAGGTACGCCGGCTGCATCACCGGCTTCATCTCCGACGCAGCCTCTGCGGATTTCTTTGTCACGATATCCTGAAAATGATCGGTTTGAGATTAGAGAGACGATGAGTCGGTATAATTTTGTAAACAACAGCGGAGGCGAGCGTAAAGCATTGATTAATAGTAATGAAGTATCGGAAAAACGTAACGTGGAATGTTTTTCTCCGGTTCGTTCGAGGAAATATACGTCTTACGTTGAGTATGCTAAGAAAAGTATGAAGGAATGTAACATGTAAAATTTCCGTACCTCGTATTTGTTGCGGTGTCAAGCTGTCAAGCCACGTGCGTGACTACTGTGTGTGGTACATGTAACAATGTATCGTGCCATTGCGTTGCACAACAATACTGATCCCGACTGATCGTTATACATGCGATGCCTTTCGCCGGCCTCTCTTTCTATCGACTTACGTGCATCCTAGCTGCTCGCTCCACGGGCTTTCGCGAGTAAACGCGGGGAGATAGGTGGAGGTTCATTGAAATGGCGCTCCTGTTAAAGTGACTTTATTTCTCGTTCATCAGAATTATGTACAAGGTACAGTATACAGTAGATGACGACCACGCCGTCACGATGGCGCGGAAAAAAGGCGCAACTCGATCGCGGGTTTATGTAACGCAAGAGAGGCAAGAAGAATATATCAACGTCGCGCGCGACTTTCCGCACCATCGTGCGCGTGCATATTTACATCCTGCTCGTTACACACACGCATACATATGTATATAATGTCAACCAAGCGATGAGAATGAATAAATTAATGTACTCGGTATATGTTCAACCGTTAGGTGAGAGACTTATACACGTGCATTATCGTACTCCGCGACATTGCGCCGATGCATCGGAGGAAGGAAGCCGTCGCTCAACTTCTTCGTCGTAGCTACGTAATTGCGCAATTTACATCGTGTCGTTTACGCACACAATGTAAATTGGTCGTGCATGCAAGGCCACCGACGGACGCGCAGACTGAACGGCGGATAGAAGAATAACGACGCGGCGTTCGATGATCGACAGGCTCACACAGTTCGTCGTTAGCAAAACACCGCATTTTCATCCAGTCGCGATTCTACACACGCGACGCAGTCTGTTCTAGGTAGATGTGTGTCTCAACTTATGCCGTTCCGAGCTTAAAGAGCGTCAAGAAAAGTACTTCGTAGGTACAGTAATACACAACACGCACACGCGTACGCACCATTACGCATACACACATACACAGGGTGTCCCGTAATACGCGGCCATTATTTGCCTAGCGTTCCTTTCGATTTTTTCTTAACGAAAACATCGAGAATGGTCATCGTTTGTGGCGACTTTTCGATTTTTAACACAACAGATTAACCTTACTGCGCACCTGTCCAGTGGACCCCAACAAAATGTTGAACTTCAAAAATATTTTTTTATATCAATAATAATCATGAATATTTGAAATTTCTTGGAGTTCGATTTTTTCAAAAAATTCCCTGCCTCGTGTGTCAAAATAAATATCTTTTTTAAGCGCCCGCATCCGAACCAATTTTTTCTTGAAAATATAGTATTTAAAGAATACAACCCCAGAGGAATCATTTAAAAATACCAAAAATTATATGAGATATGATTTTTTTGTAAAAAAGTCATTTTTCGTGTTTTTTTTTTATTATGTTCATATTAAAATTATTCAAGAAAAGCTGTTGCCTCTTATTGTAGAAAGTTTCAAAAACATCCTCAATTTTTGTCGAATTTAAATATCCGATAGAACAAACGCGGTGGCAGTTTTAATCGTTGGAGACCCTCTGTGCATCATATTAAATTATTCGAAGGTGTATACAACAAGGGTTAAAATTCTATTGCGGAATAAAGTCCACTCAAAGATGATCGAAGAAGACACTTTTGTCATGCACTCGCGGCCGCGTGAAGTTTAGCTCGCGGAAAACATCGCTTCGTGCGAATTTTCACAAACGTGTGCAAACTTTCGTGCACAGTTTCTCAGGAAAAAGAAGTAATGCCACCTAGGCGCGAATTACGGGACATCCTGCGTACATCCCGTTACAAATAAGGATACGTGTATCGGCATACTTCTTTTCTTTTCTCACGTTCGTGATGTGCTCGTGATGATGTCTTTAGAGACAGAGAAAGAGAGCATGTGGATATGTTTTACGAGAGAGCAGGCGCTTGCCGTCCCCGGCGGTGCACGTTACTTTCTCGTGAAGCCCAGATACGAAGCAATGCCGTTAATACTCTCAAAGAAGATTCGGTAAGCTTGCTGCCGGTCGTAGTGCTCCCGTACCGTCGCCGGATTCAGCGATCGTCCCGACACGTCAAGCAATTGCTCCTTCACCAATCGCTATAGTACAATAGGTAATTGTAGGTACTGATGTAGGTGCATGATGCGGTGTCGCGGCGCGGCGCGGCGCGGCGGGGGATGCCGGGTGAGAGAATGAAATGAGAACTAGATGCGAGTGCGATCACGTATCACTTCGGGATCACAAACGCGATCATCTGATTCCGAAAGAGCGGTACACGACGCCCCGCGTATCACTTCCGACGGCGATCACCGATCATCTGATCGGACGTACACGACCTGCTGCGCGGAATACCTGAGACGAACGTAGACTGGGAATGCAGAATGATGCGCAAGTGGCAAGCGCAAAAACGATCGATAAAAATATATTTTAACACGCGCTCTCTCTCTCGAGCTCTCGTCGGCTAATCGGCCTGTACTTCTGTTTGCTGATGACAACGATGAATGAACGCGAAGCAAACTCTCGTATAGTTTACCGTATGGAGCATCAAAAAGATACAATCAACAGCGTTGAGGACAAAAGAGCATAAAATTTATTTATGTTTATATACATATAACACGGAAGTTTGAGAGAAAATCGACCAGTTCACTGATGGACTGATGAAATCAACGTTTTATGTCAAAACTGATGAGAGTTAATAATTTCGTATTTTATGTGGAAGCTTATCTATGAGAATTTTTTTTTTTTTGAGTCGCTGGTGACGAATCCGGGTTCGAAATATCAAAATTCAAAGTGGCGGATCCAATATGGCGGCTTCAAGCGGCTAACTCCATTACAGATACGATTGAAATCAACGTTTTGTGCCAAAACTGACGAGAACGAATAACTTCGTATTTTACGTGGAAGTTTATCTATAAGAATTTTTTCGAGTCGCTGGTGACGAATCCAGGCTCGAAATGTCAAAATTCAAAGTGGCGAATTCAATACGGCGGCTCCAAGTGGCTAACTTTGATACTCCATTATAGATACGTATCAAATCCGATATATTTTCTTGGTCACAGATGACGACTGTCATAAATCCATTCAGGAAAGAAGTAGTTTCCTTCAACATGTTTTACTCGCTATTAATAGAGGATAAATGTAAGAGTATCCATAACAGATTACCGTTACGCACTAAAAACCGCCATTTTAGATTGTGCAATTTCTACTAGATTAATCATCAACAATTCAAGAAACATGAACATATCAAATATCTTTTCCATAATGGAATAACGAAATTAGTTCTCGGAGCCGCCATATTGGACCTGCCACTTAGAATTTTGGAATTTCGACTCCAGGCTCGTCACTAGTAACTCGAAAAATTCTCTATAAAGAAGATCTCATGCAATATCAAATGAGAATATCAATCTTAATAAATATTCAAAAACTAATAAAATTGAGTGTTTAAGCGCCGCCATATTGGATCCACCGTTTTGAATTTCTCGAGATTTGATTTTGCATTCATAGTCAGCGACCTGAAGAATACGAGTAAAGAATACGATGTATTAAGTTTCACGGGAATTTATTGAAAATAGGCGGAGCTATTCATAGTATTCATATGTGAGTCATTACCAGTGAACTGGTTTAAAAAAAGAAAAGAAGTAAAATGCTCGGAAAATGCTACCGCGTATCGATTTGCATCTCCAGTTTACGGATAATGCGAGTTTCCTGCCACGATAGACAGCGCGTAGCGAGAACGAGAATGAGAAAAACAAGCGAGATATGTAAAAAACAGGACGATAATAAAAAAAAGCTTTGTTTTTATTGCTCGAAGTATATCATTTAAAGAGATGGCACTTACAATTCCACATAATAGTGTGCGGTTATTTTCCGGATGGGGGAGAGTTTGGAGATTCCCGCTTAAAGTAAATACACCATTCGTAACCGCAATCGGGAGTACATAGTCAAATGATCGCGTTCTGCGCACTGAACGCACAGACGGGCTGACTTTTGTGTGTATAATCGGCCGACTTACAGTCTTTAATCGTAATCGTCAAAGGCACGAGACGGGAAGTGTCGTTCAGATCAATTTCGGTGTACTTTGCTCTAGAAATCGAGGGGCACTTATTCCACAGAGCAGAGAGGACTAGATATTAAGCACTGCTACGTAACGTTATAATGGTCCATGATGCTGTGTGGGAGATGGGAAGAGGGGAGGGGGAACTGTGACAGACGGTTGCGTGCAAAGAATGATTCGGCTTGATTGTGACTCACTATGTACAAAGGGTGTATTGTTGTAATACAGTATTGTGGGTAATGCTGAGTCGGGTGTGATATGTCGTGTCGAGAGTAAAAGAATCATAGTGGTTCCGCGAGAAAAGGTTGCCTTGAGCTTGTCTCATCAGAGACAGTTAATATTACTGTATTATAGTCTAGAGTGTCGGATAATAAGGTAACTAATGAACGCAGTGTATGTATGAACGCGGTCAGTGTGTACATGGCTTAATGATACAATTACGGGCTATGGCCGGATTCGTGATGGACTTCCAGACGTGTTATTCGAGCGGAGTTCGACATCTGCGAGTTGAAACGCGGCGTAAAGCAGATCGGCAAGTGTGCTCGTTGAATAACGCCACGATTAATAGCCCTGACGATGGAAAGCTGCGGGGCTCACGGTTGCGCGTGAAAGAGCGAAAGAGAGTCAATCGTGGAAGATCAGCCGTCAACATTCGCGAGATCGTGTCAGGACTGTATTCGAGAAAGAGAGAGCCGAGTCGTTTGTCACAAGGTGTCAGATTCCGCTCGGAATTTTGATTTGCGAAAGTTCAAACGACCGCATGCCGCGCATGCGGCGTATCGGAACGACGGATCAGGTGTTACCGACACTGACCAATCCCGTGCTCCGTCTCCGTGGCTACGTGGCTCAATCGAGAATCGACTCGCTTCGTCTTGAAAGCCTCAGGTGTACTCTTTGTTTTTGCTCTACTTTAATACGTGCATGCCTACGGGATGGTCTCGGGTTAGAGTGCCTAAAGGTTGGACTTCTCGACTTGTGACTTGCTTGGTTATGTGATGGTGGTGGTGGTGGTGGTGGTGGTGGTGGTGGTGGTCGTGTTCGCCTAGGAGCGCTCTATTTATCTCTAGAGTGGTGAAAGAGAGAGAGAGACCCTTTCTTATTTCCCGAACTGCCGATACTGGCCTGCTAGATTACTCACGTATTGTGCGGCGTGACTCGTCGGATATTCGGCCCACTTCGACAAGTCGATGCTAGGTAGAATCTGGGTTCGACACGGGACCCGGGGGTTTCTAACCATACGACCGGAAAAATCGAAATTTCAATTACTCAAGAGAAAATATAAAGGAATATAGATGGCAGCTAATTCCTTTGAGCAAGGCAAGAACTGGGAGCGGCAGAAAGTCAGTCGTACCCGAGTAGAAATATAACTGGCCCTTCTGATTCGGAATCTAATAGCTAGTACAAGCTAGATTATATGTTTTAGCTCATAATTGGCTGCCTATCTTCATCGAAAGCAGCAGTTTTGTGATTTTGCCGTTGTCTAACCATTATGTATCAGCTATATGATCAAATAGATGGCGCTGTATCTGTTCTAAAAGATATAACCTAGCTACTTGCATATTGCTACTGGCGTTTTGAAATTAAGTAACTAATCGGACTAGAATTCACGTTATTTCGTGAAAATTCAAGAAAAAGAGAACAAAAGTAAGCGTTACATCAGTGGCTGGATTTTCCATCTCATAACTGTAATTTCTATCGTTTACTGCCATCACAGCTAAGTTATTTATCTACCTCCTAACAGTGTGAGCGTTATCGGCTAAGAACGAACGAAGTTAGACGCAAAGCTTTGCCAGCACTATGTATGACTGGGCACTCACGAGGTTAAATTTCTACTCGGGTCACGAGGCGATCACCGAGACTTACATGTCGTGATCGGGAAGTACCATGGGATAGATCTGTATCGTGTCGATGAGATCGGTATTATCGCAGATCACTCGAGCGAGCTTTGTCTTTCGGATCTCGTTGAGTTGTTCTAGAAAAGTGAAAGCGAGAGAGCGGTTTGAGGAGGTGTACCATTTCATTATGTGTCGAACGATTATCGAGTCCTTGGGTGGCGCAGCCGCGCGCGCGCGCGCGTGAGACTCGCCAATTCGAAAGGGATCTCTTACCGAGAGTGAAGGACGATGGCTGGTTCGGCAGCTCGTACCAGAATCTGTCGCCACGACGCGAATGACTGAACTGCGTGGCGATCAAGCAGGCGAAGGTTGGCCCGAGCATGCTACCCGGAAGCGGTCTCTCGGATACGCCGCCCGACCATAAATCGACGTCTGCGGGATGTCTGAAAGCAACGTGGCCAGGTGTAGCCAGGTTATCTCCGGCGATATGCTATTTTTAGAGGCGTAACGCGATCGGCCCAGCGACTGAGTAATGAGACGCGAGAGTTTGATCGATCGGCTCTTCGATATTCCGAAGGTTTCACCGGCTATTCCCTTACGCGAACGCACGACACTCACCCGAAAATAGTGCTGTATCGCCTGATCGTCTCGTTCGGCATGGAGCCGAACAGCTCTTCGAAGCTATCCGCTCCGGGCAGGCCGCAGTACTTCCTGAAATTAATAAAACATAATGTGACAGAGCATGCATTTTCGGGCTGAGAATATACGTATTTGGTACTCTTGTGACTCTAAATGCGTGATGAAATAACTGGGAATGAAATGAGCGAGAAATCCATTTCTCTATTGGAGGCTACTTTAGCGTTGGCGACAATGATCTCTTATCGTATATATTGGACGGAGAAAGATTCCAATGATATGAATTAATGGATTATATTGATAGAAACTGATAAAAGGGGAGAAATGAGAGTCGGAACTCGGATGATAATGCACAAAGGTAAATTTATATGCAAACAATCGGTCTTAATCGTATGTACAATAAATGCCAAACATTCTTAGGCGCTTAGTGTTTTGAATATACAGGGTGTCCGGGATCTTTTGTAAACGAAAAATTGTGATTAATCAGATTAAACTGAGAAGAAAAGTAGCATTTTGCAAAAATCGTAATAATTATTAAATTACTAATAATTGAAAATGACCATATCTAGAGGCTTTTTTAATTGACAACTTTAAAATTTGCTTATTTATTTGCATAATAGTACAGAACTTTTTTGCTCAGAATGACCTAACCTACAATTATATGACAGCTATTGTGTCTAGCGATAAATATGAGTACATTGAACTTTGAACCCTGAATCTTGAATCTGTCGCTAGGCACAATATCATATAATTGTAGATTGGGTCATTCTGAATAAGAAAGCTTTTTATCATTTTGCAAATAAGTACGCAAATTTCCAATTTATCAATTAAAAGAGCTTCTAGATGTGATCATTTTCAATCATTAATAATTATTGCAATTTTTACAAAATGGTACTTGACTTTTCTTCTCAATTTGATCTGATTAATCTCCATAATTTTTCGTTTCCGAAAGATCTCGGATACCCTGTATATTATATTATATATACGCTTAGAACAAATAATGTATTTTTTATGTGATTATATAAAGCAGACTTTGTACAGAAAGAAGGTTATTATTGTCATACATATGTAACACGTTGAATCAGATTAAAAACTGAGGAGCGAGAAATCAGGATTGGTTCCAGCAACATTCATTTTAATCACGCTTTGCGTTTTTTTGTTTAGATCTATACAGCTGCAATTTTTTATCTAGATCTATATAGCTAAAAGTTAGCTCAGTGACGTATTTTAAAAACACTCCAGTGATATTCTCTTCAAACTCCTCGCGAATTAATCGCTTGACTCTCGACGACTTACTTCTCTTCGCTCATCGTGCTTCCATCATAGTATTCAATTTTATTCTCATTTATCTTTTAGTTTCATATACAGAGTGTTGAAAAAAAGGTTCAGGATTTTAAGTGCAGATAGTACTCCTAAAATGGAGGAAAAATATCTTAATAATCGTGGGAAAAAATTAATATTATCGGAGTCATGAATAATTATTTATCTTAATTAATTAATTTATTTTAATTCAAGCAACTGACTTACCCGCATACATGAAATGCATTTCTGTTATTTCTTGATATTGGAATAATACGACGTCATTCTTACCGCACTTGAAAACTTTGCAACTGTTCGTTGTTCACGAAGATATGTGACTAACTTGCTTGGCGGATCATGCGTATAAATGGGAAAAAAATAGTTGTTCGTTTACGTTCGTTTCGTGCAAGAGTGAAAAAATTTTTTCTTAAGGATTCTTTTAAAGTATGGTATTCTCTTCACATAAATGACAGATTACATAATAGACAAATTACATCAAAGAGTACAAAAACACCAGAAGCGAGTAAGTCATTTGCTTTAATTAAAATAAATTATTATTCATTTCTCCAACGATATTAATTTTCCGACTCATATTTATTAGGATTTTTTTCTCCATTTTGTGAGTATTACCTGCCCTTAAAGTCCTGAATTCTTTTTTTTAAACATTCTATATACGCTGCGCAACTAGAATTATAATTGGCAAATGGGTACACAGTCGCTAATTACAATTAGTCAAACAAGTCTGCCGGCGCAAGCGGGGCTTAATGTTATTTCAGCTCACCTGAACTCCATATAACTTGGAATACCGAATTCGCGACCACGCTGCATGTTAAAAGACACCAAGTCCATTCCGAATTTCGCCCCAACTTTCTTGAACAGATGATTCGTCACCTGCAGAGAGAACGAACAATGTAGCGCGGCGAAATCGCGCGTTTCGCTTCCGCCAATCGCCACGTCTCTTACTTCTTGCGTTATCGAATCGTCCATCGCTTGAGCGACTTGATTCATCAGGCCCATAAAATACTCGTCGAATACACCGGCGCGATACAGATCGTAAGGACGTCTTATCAGGTCCGACAGTCTCTTCGAAGCTGCAAGAGACGTTTGCGTAATCAGCCAGAAAAAGAGCAAGACAGAGAGAGAGAGAGAGAGAGAGATTTGAAGGTAGGCTACATGGCGATTTTTGCGAACTTTGACAGTCAATTGTTCGGAGAACCAGCAGATGAGAGAATTCACTTTTAGCGCGTTACGCGTGCGGTATCGCTTACCGATGAATTTGTGCGCCTTGCTCCATCGTTCCACAGCTGTGGGCAATAGCGAGTGGCCGAATCGAAAAGCGGCGGCTGCAAAAGCGTCTATCACGCCGGGATTGATGCTCTCGTCGTATCCGTCCCAGTATTTCTGCGGAAAAGTGATTTTCACGATGTCAATAACGTCCGTCGATAATAACCGATGCAGCGAGCGTAAACATTTTCATGGAATTTTCCAAAATCTACGTAAACTCGAATTCCAATGTAGATATTTCTTTTTGGCCTAATTGGAATCCATTCTGATTCTCCCCTTCCAAAATTATGGGTTCTGATTGGAAAATTTGAATGAATCCCAATTGGATTTCAGAATGATCTATATGACAACTTATGGTTTAGATTAAAAATTCTCAATTCGTATAATAATGCGAAATATTAATTTGGAACACACTTAGGCAATTTGTTTGAAATCTCAGCTATTAGGAGTGTGACTTAATTTGAAGGGTTTCGCAAGAGATGGTACCGATCAGTCAGTTTCGAAGACATTCCAATCACAGCTATTGTTTCTTAATGCTTTAATATTAATCCATGATATTTAGTCAACAATGTTAATTTCTTATCAACAATAGACGCAGAAAGAGTCGTGTTCACACCATCTCAAAAATGGAGTTTCCAAAAAAGAGCATTTTCAACATGCGTTGCTTTTGTTTTTTAATCAGAAGAAAATAGCGGCTGAAGATCATAGAATTCTGACAAGAACTTATAGTGATGTTGCTCCATCAATTAAGACATGTAAATATTGGTTTAGATTATTCAAAAGTAGTGATTTCAATGTTAAAGACAAAGATCGTTCGTGACAAGCAAAAAAGCCTGAGAATGCAGATTTGCAAGCATTATTGGACGAAAATCCAGCGCAATCCACTTGAGAACTTGCCAGAGCATTAAATGTTGATCGTACAATAGTTATTAAACATTTACATGATATGGGAAAGATTTACAAAGTAAAAAAATGGGTTTCATATCAATTATCGAAAAATGCCATCGCAAACCGGTTGAACATTTGCATTTCGTTGATCGTCAGAAAAGAAATGAAGACTTTTTTATATCGAATTGTTACTGGGCATGAAAAATGGATCTACTTCGATAATTCCAAACGAAAAAAATCATGGGTTGACCCTGGCCGATCAACAACATTTTGAGGCGCAATATTCACGGTTCAAAAGTATTGCTGAGTATTTGGTGAGATCAAGACGGTGTTGTGTATTATGAACTGTTAAATCCAAATTTAACCGAACCTAACCGTCATAGCTAATCGTTATCCACAACAATTATACAAATTGAAGAGAGCATCGGACCAGAAACGATTACCAACTGCGAGTAAACGACGCAAAGTGATCTTTCTTTGCGATAATGTTCGACTTCATGTTGTATTATCAGTGAACCAAACTACGCTATTAGAGCTGGAATGAGAAGTTTTACCGCACCCTGCGTATTCTCCAAATATTGCTCCATCTGATTATCACTTGTTCCGGTCGATGCAACATGCTCTAGAGGATGCACACTTTTATAGCTTCGAACAAGTGAGAAAATTTGTTGGAAATTGTATCAACTCCAAAGAAGAATCTTTTTATCGTCGCGGAATCCGTCTCTTGTCAGAAATATGGGAAAAAGTTGTAGAAAACGAAGGAAAATATATTGATTAAGGTATTCGTTCATTATCTTGTTTAAGTAAATCAGTTTTTGGAGAAAAAATCCCTCAAAACTAAATCACACCGATAATATATATTTGGAAACATTTCGAAAAATTTCCATACAGGATGAAAAGTGTAATTCAAATGCTGATTCTCTAAGTGGGTGACGCAAAGTTCTCCTGATATTTTTTTCTTGTCCTTTATTGTTGGTCGGAAAAGAAATGTCGGAACAAGCAATTATGCGAAGTTCTCAAATATCATATCTAGAATATCATATCATAGAAACCAAGTTGATACAGATGGTTCTCAACGCTGGATTTCAATTTCCTAACATTTCCGTAATGTGATATGACACGGATTATTTCAATTAAACTAGAGATTTGATCGTTATCAATCTCCATAAGTCTGTCAGAATGTTTATCATCGGTAAGACTAAAATTTCCACCATGAAACTTTTTGAACCATCTCTGCACCATTCTTTCATTCACAACACCATCACTATGCACATGAGAAATCTTTTTTGTTGCTGTACCGCATTTTTACCGCTTTGCGAAAATTAAAAATCATAATTACACGAAAATACATCTTCTCGTTGTTTATCTTCAAAAACATATAGCGAAATAAGCATTAAAAAAATTTAACCAAATATAATAAGAGCTTTCTTTCAAATTACACATTGAAAAATCTCAGCTTTTAGATCTTATTATATAATACATGCGTTTCATAGGTTACGAGTAGTCTTTTCTTCTTTCTTTTTGAACAGGGACAATCTCTTACAAAAAAAAGCGACATTACTTACTGGTCAATCCAATAACATTTGGATTTTATTCTTTTTTTCATCTTATTGAATAGCATGAAGAATAAAATTCTCTGTTTGATACCAACGTTGAAAGAATACCGACGTTACCGACCGAAAAGCAGCTCGAGTTTCCACAATATTCCTGTCTCAATCCTAAACAAGAACCCATGTTTAAAGTAAGAAAGGGACACTAATTGACATCGCAATCGGATAACCATTAGGAAAAATTTGAGAATTTTAATCGACATCTAATCTATATCTGAGAAAATCCTGAGAAATATCTCTATGCCGATCTTAATCATTCCTCCGGATTCCTCAGCCGCGCGTGATTACGCGCTTACCGACGATCCCGTGAAAGTCCGTTCATCCGCTCCGCGATAAATCCCGTACTTACTTTCGCAATTAACGTGCACTCGCGCACTTTTTCGATATCTCCCTTTTCCCGCGAAAAAACGTTTCCGAATCATCAATCTCACTCACCTCCTTCTCGAGGAGAACTCCGAATTTCTCCATGACGTCTTTGCCGAGTAATATCGGCAGGAACTCGTTATAGGTAATGTGCTGAATTTCCGCGATGACGATGCGCCTAACTTCCTGGAAGAGAATCTCGTCGTCCCAGTGCGGATTGACGAGAGCCAGCGCTTTGGCCAGCCGGTTATGCTCTCGCGCCATCAGCGTGTGCATGCAGGTCAGTACCAGCTGTTCGTTCACCCGAATCTCACCTGGAAGCCGAGAAAGACGAGCGAACCCGCCGTGTATCGAGTGCTAATCGAGCGACCTGCCGAGCGAGCCCGCCGATCCCTTCGCATTAATTCGCGCTCGCGCGTTAATCGCGCGCTCGCGGTGAGCGGGATAACAAGTGCAGCTCGCGACGCAGCCTCGAGAGAGCACGTGCGCGAATTTTTCTCACTCTCGCGTGACTTTGTGCAAGCCGGCGACCTTGTGGCGAGCGCGAGCGTTCCCTTTCTCATCCGCATTGAATCGCTCAATCGACGAGCACGCGGCGACCCGGCGCGAACTGAAATCGGCCGACCGAAATCCCGAAGCATTCCCGGGAGCAACCTGACCGAGCAACATTCTTCAACTTTTCCGCTCAACGCTTCTGTGGGCTTTTATGGGCGACGCCGAATGCTCACGCGACTGACATTCGGCCGAAGATTTACGACTTAGCGTACCGGTTCCCGTCTCGCCCGGCTTCGGCTCCGGTAGGAGGTTCCGTGATCTACGTGATCACCGCTGGGCGATAAGTGCGTGTAATTATCGGCCCGCCGTCAAATTGTTTCGTCTCACGAAACCCTCGGCCCCGGTCGGCCCCGGTTGGCGTGTGGGCGCAAGGTGTTCGCTCGCCGACGTCGGCGGCGACGTGGGAAACTGATTTCCGAGTGAACGAGACGTGGGTGCTGGCGCGAGATCAATCGCGTCGAGATCACGGCCATCTCTCTCTCCCTCTCTTTCCGCCTCTTTCTCTCATTCTCCGTCACTCTCGAGGAAGAATGATAGGCGGTAGTGGGTAAGTGGCGGCGGCGCGTGAACGAGCGTGACTGATCGCTCCATTGTGTGTTGTATCGTCGGTCGCGGAAAAATCAGCGAAAATCGGAATAGCTGGCATTAGACTAGCGCGGCCACGTCCGCGACCCGAGCTGACTCACTCTGTCTGTCGTCGCCGACATGTGCGCCGCGCGCGCGCGCGCTCATTGCGTGAATTCAAATGAACGCCTGGCCGAGCTAATAGCCCGCGCCCTGAATCGCGTTTCTCACTCGGCGCGCGCGTTCACCGGCGCCGCCGCGCGAAAGTCGTCATGCGAAGGCAATCGCCGTGCGATTGATTTGTCACGACCGCGTGAGCCGATGATGCAACGGGCGCAAGCAACGAGGATTATCATCGCGCGATATCCTCGCGATAGTTTTCCGCGGATAGGATTCTCGGAGCTGTTACCGGCTTCGAAGCAATACATCGATCGGTTCGGCCGCGTGCACCCTTCGTCCGGGATGTCCAGCTTCAGCGGCAGCAGGTCCTTCAAGCCGTATTCCGCGAATACCGGGTTCATCCGCAGCAGTCCGCCGTAGCCCGTGCGGAGTTTCCTGCGGGACGTCATGAAAATATATCGCGGGCCTCGAGTGCGGCTTTCTTTCTTTTATGCGCGATTTTTTCAGCTGGAATGAGGTGGGAGCCGCCAGCCTTGAGCTGGATTCACGTTATTCGTCTAGACGACAGATAGGACTTTGTCAATCCTTCGTTTTGTTCTTATAGCAGAAATAGTTTATTGTGAACGATTCTGCACAATAAAAGAAAGAAAATTGTGAAAACTGGCGCGTTTCTAAAATGTATAAAATCGTACATTATATTTACTAAATAATATATATTTTTACAAGGAAAATCATATAAAAGATCCTTTCTCTATACATACAAAAAATATACAAAAGATGTTGAAAAAAATATTTGGAACAATTTGAGTATGGATTTACACTTTTGAAATAGTCACGCTTATAAAGTGAAAATACTCGAATTGTTTCGTACACTTTGTTCAATTTTTAATAAAACTGAAATATCAAAAAAATTAGAGAAGAATGTTTAATAAAGATTGAATGAGATTTATTTGGGTTTTCTATTTAGAATCGCTTCAAAAGCATCGAAAGATTTCAACAGAGGATTGACAAAGTCCTGTCCGCCACTGTTGTGAGTGGAAATGTGAACTCAGCTTTAATCTCAATCTCTACGTCACAGTGCTTTAGTATTTGTTTCTTCAAATTATTATCACGTGAGTTTGCGGTGGATAATATTATAAAAAATGGTCGAATCATCTTAAAATTTTCCAAGAAACAGCAAAACTGATTCCAAATAGGATGTCACGCTCAATTAATCGGATATCAGTTGGCAATTCCATTCTCATCTCAAATGTTCTCTCAAATGGATTCTCTACAATGAAAAAAAAAAAACCGGCGTGTTTTTAAGATGTATAAAATCGTATATTATATTCACTGAGTGATATATATTTGACGAATATATATTTTTACAAAGAAAATCATATAGAGAATCCCTTTTCTACATACAAAAACTGTTGAAAAAAATATTTGGAACAATTTGAGTATGGATTCACACTTTTGAAATAGTGATGTCTATAAAGTGTAAATATTGTAAATTGTTTCGTACGCTTCGTTCAATTTTTAATAAAACTGAGATATCAAAAAAATTTTTTTAAATCTTTAACAAAGATTAAGTGAGATCTATTTGGGTTTCCTATTTGGAATTGTTTGTCTAACACTTCTGAGTTGCTTGTCTTCACAGATTTCCCAATCAGAGCCTGCAAATTTTCGTGAACTCAAACCGTAGGCGCCGATTAGGCCCCTTTGTGTAGATGAACACGACTGAGAACTAGTGCTTCGCTTTACGTTATTGCAATACATACTGCATTGAAGTCATACCTAGCGAAAACTTCCGTAATTCCGTAAACCGTGTTACCGTCCAACACACCCGTGAGAAGATTGAAAGGCACGCGAGAGCCGAGACGACAGCCAGGTCGGACGGCGGGAAAAGCGCGAACGAAGTCCATGCAGCGAACGTTGAACAGCCGGTAGAAGTAATCGTCCTCCGGTATGAGGATCTCGTTGCAATATGGATTCTTCAGGTGCGGCGGCCGGCTGCAGCATTCCTCCGGGTCGTTTCGGTTCAGGGGATCTGCAGGGATGCAATGGTCGATATACGATCGCGATAGTGAAGAGCGTGATAGCGTCGGGATCGTGTCAAGATCCTGATACTATACACGCGTAGCGACTCAAGAGAAACTTTTAATTATGTAGATAAATTATACTTTAATTATAAGAATTTAAATTATACATGTCCAAGAGTGAAATTATATTTCAGGAAATCTTATGCTCGAAAATAGTATTTCAGAAAATTTTCCGTTCTGACATATTCTTCTTCGAGACAATACATGTCCGTCGCGGTGGAAAGTTGTATTGCCTGATGAAGATCAACGAAACGGAAGTTTCATGCAGCGCAGGCTCCGCTAACCTTTGTCTGGGGTGTCGCAATCTCACGATCTCGCGTCACCGACGAGCGCGATCGTCGATTAATTATCTCTTCCTGAACCCCGGCTAGGTAACCGTGGGATCGCCCGCGGGCATCGGTAGGATTGTTAAATTATTCCTTCTTCCGAGAACCGTCCGATAATTGGCGAGTGTCACAGTCGTGTCTTTCTCTCGCCGCGCAGGTCGCGGCTTTTCACGGCTCGCCAATTCTGGTTGACACATTCGCGAGCGAACGATCTCGAAACCGAAGCGCTCGAAAACGTCACGGACGGACACGTGATTCGTTTATCCGGCCAGGCGATCGTTCGCTTTCTCTCCTAGTTACCCTCCTTTCGATATATACGGTAAACGCTCGGGCTCATAGAAGGGCCGAGCGATCTACGATGCGCGCGAGCGAGCGAGCGAGCGAGCGAGCGAGCGCGTATCAAATATCTCGATACAGTTGATTCGACTTGAGCAGCTTGGGCAATCCGCAGCCGACGTTCTCAAGGCGCGCTTTCTAATTTCTTTTCTACCAGCTCGATCGAATCCGCGGTCTTTAATCGTTCTAACGTGTGGCCCGCCGCCGTCGGTTGCGGCTTTCTTCGAGATCGATTACACAGCGGGATCGTTGATCATCACGAGCTACTTTGCGTCCCGCTCTAGACTTTCTAGGCTGGAATACTAAGTACCTAAGGGTGTGCCGGTCAGAGTGTAGTCGTGATCCATGAACTGTCCCCATGCGATCACCATCACTGTGCCAGCGTGATCATGGTAGCCCTCGTCGGGGTGCATGGTGCGTGACACGACCCGTGAAAGCGGTAGGTCATGGCCCATCACGGATACCCTCGGCGCCGACAGGCCGTCCGCGAATCGAGGGCTCATCAACCTGCGAGACAATGTACACAGCGACCATAAAGTCTACGCCGTTTACAGGATGTCCAAGAAAAGATCTTCCAGATCTACGTGCATTACGTGCAGGATGGTTGTTCTGAGTAAATAGCTCTGAGATCTTTCAGTCGATTTTTCGACCACTGTCAAGTACTGTCTACCCTGTAGGTCTGAAATCCTTTTTCTGAACATCCTGTATATATCATAATATGCTGGACTGGGCGTTGCATCCATACTTAGTTATTGCCCAAAAGTATGTACAAGCATGGTATCAGGACATTTTGTATAAATCTAACAATAATATCAATGTCGTGAATATATCGTGAACATATGGAGGTTAGGCGAAACGGAAAAAAAGTCTTCTACCATATTTTGCACCGCCACGTAAAATTTTGACTTATTGATTTAAAAAATTTGACGATTCCTGCCGTCGTAGAAGTCGCTTGTAGATTAAGTCCAACTAGACACAAAAGTCCTGTGCTGTTTAACGTTAATTATATTATTGCCACAAATCATGTAGATTTTCAGTTACTAATTGAAAGACGTTGTGGCGCATTATCGCCAATTTCCTTGAATTAACGATTCGAAATTTTACACGCTTGCTCGAAAAATGGAGTAGAAATTTTTTTGTTCAATTTTACGCAATCTATATACACACAACAAGTTTGATTTTTATCATCGGACACTCTGTATACTTATGTGTAAATCGAATGCCAGTCTATGTGTAAAAGATAACAAGAACGAAATAAAGGCACTATGACTTTAAGATCCCCTTTGTCACTTTAAGAAAAATTAGCAAAATCTTTTATCGCGTTTTTTGTCGCGTTTTTATTCTAAACATTCGACTGGGAGAAAAGTGTTTTTGGTTTTTTCTTTATCAACAGCATTTGGGCAACCAACAATTTTACACACTGTTTCGGGATTATTGTATTAGGAGTGTGATTTAGTTTTGACAGTTATTTCTCAAAAACTGATTTACTTAAATAAGATAATGAACGAATACCTTAATCAATATACTTTTCTCCGTTTGCTACAACTTTCACCCATCTCTCTGGCAAGAGACGGATTCCGCGACGATAAAAAGATTCTTCTTTGGAGTTGATACAATTTCCAACAAATTTTCTCACTTGTTCGAAGTTATAAAAGTGTGTGTCCTCTAGAGCATGTTGCATCGACCGGGACAAGTGATAATCAGATGGAGCAATATTTGGAGAATACGCGGGGTGCGGTAAAACTTTTCATTCCAGCTCTAGTAGCGTAGTTTGGTTCATTGATAATACAACATGAAGTCGAACATTGTCGCAAAGAAAAATCACTTTGCGTCGTTTATTCGCAATTGGTAATCGTTTCTGGTCCGATGCTCTCTTCAATTTGTATAATTGTTGTGGATAACGATTAGCTATGACGGTTAGGTTCGGTTAAATTTGGATTTAACAGTTCATAGTACACAACACCTTCTTGATCTCACCAAATACTCAGCAATACTTTTGAACCGTGAATATTGCGCCTCAAAATGTTGTTGATCAGCCAGGATCAACCCATGATTTTTTTCGTTTGGAATTATGGAGGTAGATCCATTTTTCATCCCCAGTAACAATTCGATATAAAAAAGTCTTCATTTCTTTTCTGACGATCAACGAAATGCAAATGTTCAACCGGTTTGCAATGGCATTTTTCGATAATTGATATGAAACCCATTTTCTTACTTTGTAAATCTTTCCCATATCATGTAAATGTTTAATAACTATTGTACGATCAACATTTAATGCTCTGGCAAGTTCTCAAGTGGATTGCGCTGGATTTTCGTCCAATAATGCTTGCAAATCTGCATTTTCAAGCTTTTTGCTTGTCACGAGCGATTTTTGTCTTTAACATTGAAATCACCATTTTTGAATAATCTAAACCAATATTTACATGTCTTAATTGATGGAGCAACATTACCATAAACTTCTGTCAGAATTCTATGACCTCCAGCCGCCATTTTCTTCCGATTAAAAAACAAAAGCAACGCATGTCGAAAATGCTCTTTAAGAAGCTCCATTTTTTAAATGGTATTAATACGATTTTTACTGCGCCTATTGTTAATAAATGACTAAGTATCATGGATTAATATTAATGCATTAAGAAACAATAGCTGCGATTGGAACGTCTTTGACAAAACTGATATTAGTACCATTTCTTGCAGAACCTTGAAAACTAAATCACATTCCTAATAGTACACGCGGAAGATAATATGTCGAACGAATAGAATAAAATAGAGGTTAAGACCATATCGGGCAATCCTGTTACTCCGATACATGTTATATCCTTGTACTGCGCATTCATCCGCGTGCTGCTTTTATATAAGAGGAACACTTGTATATAAGGAGAGAAATAAGAGTGCGCAGTCTAATGTATTACATAGGGTGACTTATTTGAAATGCCCATCTAACATATCTCGGAGGAAATGCATTATCTGGAAAAAAGTCTCAGACGAAAGCTGTTTTAACCTTTTGCGGCGCAGACGGACACTCAGAGACTCACCTATATTCCGTCAGTTTTGTATATTTTATAAGCAGTTTTAATGATCGTTTTAATGATCAATTATATTTTCTAGCTTCTTAAGACCCTAACTGTAAGTGTAAAATAATTGTAATTACTTATAAATTCTTTAAATTTATTATTGCTAATAGTAAATAAGTAAACACAAATAAAATGTTTTTAAGAATAAATGTATGGCAAGGCGAAGAATTAACTATTTTTACTTAGGAATTGATACGCAGGGATATCTTTGGGTCGCTGATTACGAAACCGTTGTCAGATTTTAGAAATTCAAAATGGCAGATCCAATATGGCGGACGTGAAATAAAAATTCAACCAATTTCCATGAAACTAGGTGTCTAAGGTTTTTGTTGGGTCGCTGATTATGAATCCATCATCGGATTTTCAAAAATCAAGATGACCAATCCAACATGTCGGACGGAAAACTTAAGGAAAACTTCAATTTCTAGAAAAATTGGTATTGAGGAGTTTTTGGGTCGCTAATTATGAATTCATCATCAGATTTTCAAAATTCACGATGGTTGATTCAATACAGCGAAGCGAGAATTTTAGAAAACCCAAATTTCTACGCCATTTTGAATTTCGAAAATCTGGCAACGGATTTGTAATCAGTTACATTAAAAACCCCTAGATACCTAGTTTCTCGGAAATTGGTTGAATTTTGAATTTTACGTCCGCCATATTGGATTCGCCATTTTGAATTTCAAAAATCTGACTACGGATTCGTAATCAGCGATCCAGAAAACCCCTGGATACAAAGTTTTATAGAAATCGGTTAGAAGGAAAAATTCCGTGGCTCAAAGAGTTAAGAGGACAAATTATGACCTTGATCTGATCTTGTTGAGATTTTTCAATCTGCGGTATTCTTTCGAATAATGCATTTCATTCGAGATATTTCAGGTGTGTATTTAAAACAAGTCTATATAGATACCTATATGGTGCCGCGAGAGGCATCGCATTTATTTCCGCTAGAAAAGCGATTTACCTCGCAAAAGGCGACAGAGTGGCTCCCCAGGTTGGATTCTGCAAATTCGTGCAGAGGCCGTCGTAACGCCGGTACTTGCCCGGTCGGCACTCCACGTTGCTGAGGAAAGCGGGGCAGACCTCGCGAATGAGCGTTTTCGAGGTATCGATCAGCGGCAAGCTCTTCTCGATCTCCTCGTAGGTCAGTCCGTACCTGGACGTCGATCGGCGGACGATTAACACGAATATACCAAGTGAATTCGTTCGTGATCGGATCTCAGTAAGAAGATGAAATCTCGCGCAAGGAGAGAGAGACTTACGTTTGCGCGAGGTTCGTGCTGATGTCGAGGAGCAGCTCGCCGACCGTCGCCAGGTCCTCCGGTCGCCATATCTCCGACTTCGGTCTCGCGACGTCTGCAGACGATCACGTGTTAACGACAAAAACACGAGGCAGGTGTCGTAAGGGAAAAGGTGTCGTAAAGGAAAAGGAACAAGAGGAACGCAGGCGAATGAAAGGTAAGCGCATTGGGCGAGAAACACGGTTAAAAAAATATCTTACTAAAAGATATAACTACATGTTAATTAATATAAATACGAAGTTAGTTATTTTAGTACAAATAAAAAATATATATAAAAAAATTATTCGGTGAGTACTGATAGTTATGACATTTACTGATGTTTAATTAACAAGATTTATTTGAAGCATTACGATTTTGTAGAAACTGTACGGTTTTGAGAAAACGCACATTCTCCCGTTTGAGAAGGAATTTTTTTAGCGCAAGAGTATGTATGTTCAGTTACGAGTAAAGTTGTTATCAGTACCCACCGAATAAATATTTTTTTTATTAGATATTTTTTTTTCTTAGCGTATAAAAATGCGAGAGGAAATCGATCGTAAATCTACACTCAATCCCGAAACGGTTCGTAAGCATATTTTTAAATAAATAAGGTTGCAGCATTTCAGGTTGTCACATTTGAGAGACATTGCCGACACCTTTACGTTTTAGTGACAGGAGTCGAAGCGACGAATATATGCGATGTCACAATTGCAAAACGGAGGGAAAAAGACGCAGTCTGAATTATAACAAAGGACCAATGTGCGCGGTAAAAAGAACTTTAAACATTTGTTAAAATCGATTCTTGGTGAGACATTTGCGTTAGATTTTTAACGTAAAGTTAACGCGTGTTAACTTAAAATATCGCGTCTGTTAATTTTACCGAAAAATAATCAGATCAATCAAGTAGCACGCGATTAGAAAGATTTCAGTCGAAATAACCGACAACGAAGAACAACGTGATTAAGAAAAAAATGTTGAATAAAAAATCTTTCTCTTCGTGTGAAAGTGACATCTCTTTTTCGAGCGTCACGCTTGACGTCGTAGATGTGTCGGTTTTATCTCAAATCTGCTGCAAGATATCAAGATCGTCGGAGTTAATCTCTTGCGGCAATTTCGACGTAATATTTGCGCGTTGTCCTGCGCCTTTTAACGACCGCCTCGTCGACGCGGCAAATCAACGCGGAAACTCGCGAGCGAGCCGACTGGGAAATCGTGCGAGAGAAATGTGTTAGCTTCTCGATGCAAAATTTTTCACCGGGTATCGCATCATTCATTCGTGTACCGTCGCCTCGGCTCCTGTCACAACCGATTATCGCGCGAACGCGTCGACAGCGCCTCCCAACTGTCGGACAGGCCGCGGCTTCGTCGGGAAGAATGCATGCCGAGCGAGTCCTCGTCACTCGGCCAACCGAGTGTACACGTGTCAGCCCTCGCCTCGCGGTGAGAATTATCGCGGACACGTAATGCGCGTTGCATAATTAACTCGCGCGTAATTAATTCCTCTTAATGAAATTTGATGTACTCACTGATGCGCTTTCTCGCCTCGATGTAGGCATGATTTACGGCGTCGTACGTGATGCAGGTCTGCGTCCCTCCCGCAGCGGTCGGGCTGGCAGAAGAACAAAGATGAAAGTTTAAGACGCACCGGTGTAAGAAATATTATTTATGCTCCCGTCCGCGTCGCCCCCTCTCCCCTCCGGCCGCCTTCCCGTCCTCTCCCTCCGCCCTTGCCGCGATTGCGAGCGGATTAATTACCTAACGCGTTCGCAGCCTACTTTCGCGCGCGAGGAGAACCCGCGCGACACGTGAATTCGTCGCGCGTTTCGCGCGCGCGCGTCGTGTGTTCATGTGCGCGCGAGATATTTCATATCAAGGTAACCCGAAACTACCTCAGACGTGCTCTCCTATGAACGCACGCGAATCGACTTTCATATCCTGTTTCCGCCGCGGATTATAACGGCAATGACATGCCACCCGCGGCTCTCTCGTTCGCCGACGAAGGTTGACCCCGCGGAGCGATCTCTCAGCGCGTTTCTCTACGGGCGTCATATTTTATGCACGCTTATATCCGCTGCGGCTTCCGCCTTTTACCCTTCTGCCTCCCCGGCCAGGTGGGAGTGGGAGTAATTTGGGCGGAAATCTTGTCGGTTTGCCGATTTGCGAAGGCTTGCGTCTCTCTTGCCAGCGGCATGGAACGACGAAGGAGAGGGACAAAAGGGACACGCGGCGAAAATTGTTTCAACATTCATTCAAGACGTGATATTATTGCGTGGAAAATGTCACTGTAACTTCGACGAAATAGACGAGATGGAAATTCGGCTGGAATGCGCGGAACAAATCATCAATATTCCAGCTTGGTATTAGAAGGTTGAATTAATTCTGGTCTTGTTTTGTTAATTTCTTTTTATTTTTATTTTAAGGAAATGGTTAAATTTACATCGATCGAAAATATTTTCCGTCGTTAGCTGTGACTCTTTCCCATCTTTCTGGCAACACAGCGATCCCGTGACGATAGAACGATCTGTCTTTCGAAGCGATTCAATCAGACACCCATTTCTGCACATCCTCATAATTATTGAAGTGTGTATTTGCTAAAGCGTGTTGCATCGATTGGAACGGATGGTAATTAGATGGTGTTAGGTCTGGAGAGTACACTGGATGCGGAAGAGTTTCCCATTCGAGCTCTAATAATGTTTGTTTAACGATTGAAGCAACATGTGGGCAAGCATTATCGTGCCAAAGAAGCACTTTACGTCTATTGCTGGCTATCGCTGGCTTTACTTGCATCAATTCATCATTCAATTTGTTCAATTGTCGGCTGGTATCGCTCCCCGGTAACTGTTTCATTCGGTTTTAGAAGTTCATTGTTCACCACACTTTCCATATCTCACCAAATACAGAGCATTGCTTTGTGACCGTGAACGTTCCGCTTCGGTGTCGATGTTGATGGTTGTCCTGGATCAACTCATGATTTGTTCGCTTTGGATTATCAAAATAAATCCACTTTTCATCTCCAGTTACAATTCGCATACAACACAAAAAAACTCTTTTTTCTGTCTGGCAAGCAAAGACATGGCGATATTCAAATGATTGGCAATGGCACTTTCATTCAATTCATGTGGAATCCATTTGCCTTTCTTTTGAATTTTTCCCATGGCCTGCAGACGTTTAGAAATTGTTGATTTATCGACGTTGAGTTGTTCTTTCCGTTTGAGCGGTGTTTTCATTCGATAGTGCTTGCAATTCAGAATTTTTTTGGAATTTTCTTGATTGACCAGTAAGTTCTTTGTCACTCGAATCGAAATCATCACTTTTGAATCGTTGAAAGCAAAATTTACAGTTGGAATACGATGGAGCTCGATCACCATAAGTTATAACGAGCATTTCATGAGCTTCAGCTGTCGATTTTTTCAAATGAGACAAAAAAGTAATGAATGTTGAAAATGCAACTTTGTACGATCTACTTTAAACGCATATTAGGTTGGGGAAAAAGAAATCCATTATTTTTTCGTTTATTTCAAGGCTTTATTTAACATAGTTAAGATTGTTCGATTTTGGTCAAATAAGCACCGTTTTGTTCTACAATTTGTCGCCATTTTAAAGGTAATTTCATGATCCCTCTTTCATAGAAGCCCTGGTCCTTATTTGCAGAAAACTCGACTAAGCGATTTTCACAGTCTTCTCTTGAGGTCAATTTCTTACCATCAAGGAAGTTTTGCAATGACAAAAACAGATGGTAATCGCGTAGTGTCAGGTCCGGACTATAAGGTGGATGCATCAAAACTTCCCAACCAAGCTCCCGGAGTTTCTGACGAGTCACTATAGACGTATGTGACTTGGCATTGTCCTGATGAAAAACAATTCCTCTCCTATTAACCAATTCTGGCCGCTTCTGGTCGATCGCTAGCTTCAAACGGTCCAATTGTTGACAATAGAGGTCCGAATTTAGTGTTTGGCCATATGAAAGCAGCTCATGGTGGATGATTCCTTTATAGTCCCAAACATTCAGCAAAACCTTCCTGGCCGTTAATCCTGATTTGGCCACCGTTTGAGCCGTTTCGCTGCGCTTTGACCACGTTCGTTTTCGCACAATATTGTCGTATATAATCCATTTCTCATCTCCAGTCACCATCCGTTTCAGAAATGGCTCGATTTCGTTCCGTTTGGTCAAGGCTTCGCAGATTGAAATTCGGTCCATCATGTTTTCTTGCGTCAATTCGTGTGGCATCCAAACATCGAGCTTTTTTTTGAATCCAGCTTTATGCAAATGGTTTAAAACTGTTTTGTGGTCGATCTTCAGCTCCTGGGCGATACTACGACTGCTAACATGCCGGTCTACTTCGATCATTTCCATAATTTTATTGACATTTTCGACGACGGGCCTACCTGTGCGAGATGCATCTTTAACATCAAAATTACCGGAACGGAATGGACAAAACCAAAATTGCTCGTGATTGGCTGTGACAGTATCGGGATCATAAACACCATTCACAATTTCAGCCGCCTGGCTTGCATTTTCGCCTTTATCGAAGCAAAATTGTTAAATATACCGAATCTTCTCTTTGTTGACGTACATCTTTTACGTGCTATAACTCACAACTTAATCGACGAATCACAAAACCGTTAAAGAATTTTTTTTTAGTACGGAATGTCACTTTTCCAACGAGTACAAAAATTAACCTATGCGATTTATACATCACGTGATATATACCACTAAAGCCATCTAGCGGAAAAATAACGGATTTCTTTTTCCCCAACCTAATATAAATAATAAAACTATCAGTAACAATAGCGCGCAAACTGTTATATGTTACAGAGTCGAATGTCAAATCTTTCAGTGTTGACAGATTTCAACGTTCGTACTAATTATTGTTACTAAAGCCATCTGTTGCTAGGGACCAGAACTAACTCAATCTCCTAATATTATGAAACTTTTATGAAATAAGGGGAGCGAAGGAAACGCGGGCAAGTTGCCAAAATTGTTTCAAGTCGTGTGGAGTGCGACATGAAAATCCTCTTGGTGGATTCGTTACTGCGTCAAAGTAACAGCTAAATTGACATTATTCCATGACGCGAATTTAACGACCGATTCGATATGGTATGTCTGCTGCGTAAATGTGATTCGAAAAATTGCAGATCTCGCGCAAAGTGCGCGTGTGTGTTTTCGTGTGCGATCGTCCCACGTCGCAACAATCGTGAAAGTCTATTCAGGTCTCTTTATCTCCTTAGCGCAGGTAGCACTCAACATGTGGCAGGGTCACGAACTCGTTTAATTTAATGCGTTTACGCGGCTACACTGAAGTTCCATGCGAATGCGCGACGGAACTGTTCTACAAATCTCATTCGCGCTGCAACGCGACGCGAGGTTTCGCAAATTACCGCTCGCGATAAGTTGCGCGCGAGAGCTGCGGGAAGGAAGATAGATGAGGAGACAGAGAGGAAGATCAATCAGACAGAGAGAGAGAGAGAGAGAGAGAGAGAGAGAGAGAGAGAGAGAGAGAGAAGAAGAAGAAAGAGACACGCGGTTTCTCGTGTCTAATCCGCAGCGAAGCGTTACGCGTCGCAACCGTTACGCCGTGACCGATGTTAATAATAACGAGAGCATTCCATAATGGTGTCGTGCGTCGACGCACTTACCATAACTGGTCCGAGGGGGACGGCCGTACTCCGTTCTCGCAGATTGCGACAGTCGCGGAACTTTTCTCTCGATGTACATAAATCGCACTCATTTCGCCGTCTGCTCGTGAGGTACTTTGCTTTTTTTCTTTTCAAGCAAGTACGTTAAATAATCGCGAAGCACGTCACCAAGTAACAGCACCGACGGCGTATTCGAGGGTGTTAACCCTCCATGAGCTGTGCATGTGTGTGTGTGTGTCACCGATGACATTAAGCGAGGAAAACCTTAATTGACTAAAATAATCGGCAAGTCAACAATAAAAATTAATTACTCTTCATGTGAGCAGTTACAACTAATGCGATCGGTTGATGAAATTATTAATCAATGCATGATCGATCAAATCAATCGAGAGAAACAATCGTTACACAAGATGTCCGGGATCTCTTGGAAACGAAAAATTGTGAAGATTAATCAGATCAAACTAAGAAGAAAAATCAAATACTATTTTGCAAATAAGTACGCAGATTTTCAAGTTATCAATTAATAGAGCCTCTGGATGTGGACATCTTCAATCATTAATAACTTAATAACTATTGCGATTTTTGCAAAATGGTGCTTGACTTTTCTTCTCAATTTAATCTGGTTAGTCTTCACAATTTTTCGTTTCCAACAGATCCCAGACACCATACTGTATATAATCATGACTTATTCGAAGGTAGTTTTGATGATTTTATGCAAGCAAAATTTTGATCGATTAATGCACAACAAAGTGAAGTCAGTGTTGGACTTTCATTTCATCAACTAACATTTTAGAAGACTGAAATAATCGGGAAATTAACAACCGAAATTAATCACTCGTTATATGAGCAATATCATAAATAATATAATTGATTTGTGAAATTAATTATTAATCAATGCATAATTAATTAAATCGAAGTAATCGGTCAAAACAATCATTATATATGTAATCACGATATAGCCAATGTTAATTT